GGCCGGCGTGGTGGCCAACCTCGTGGCCAGGGGCACCCTGCTCAGCGCGCTGGAGGAGACGCGCCGGCAGCAGCTGAAGGTGGGCCGCTCGGGGGCGCTGCCGGGGGGCTGCGGGGCCGGTCGGCGGGAGGCGAGCTGGCGGCCTGCGGGGCCGCGGCGCGGGCCGGGGCTGGCGCGCTGGAGCAGCCGGGAGCGGCGGGCACGGTGACGCGCGGCTCTGGCTCTCCACGCAGAAGTTCCTGCTCCACCGGCTGTTCTATGTCGCGACGCTGCGCGAAGACGTAGACCCTGCGGAGGTCACAGGTACCCCAGCTCCGCAGAGAGGGCTTGCCCCCCGCCGCTGCAGGGCCCGCTGAGCAAGCCCCGCGGAGACGAATGGGGGGGGGGGGCGCGGGGCTCGCCGCCGTTCCAGGTGCCTCAATGAACCCTGCCCCTGGGTGGCTGCTTAATCGATATTTTTCTCTCCACCTTCATAAGCTTACCATGAGCAACTTTTCCAGAAGATCTCAAAGTTCCATTTAGGAGAACCTGCCTCAGGCATTCTGCTCATCTATTCTCAATGCATTCTCCATATTTTGGAGGTAGGTGGATACATCACCAGTCTACCCAGAAAAGCTGAAGCACTGATTTTTGTAGATGCACAGGTTTGTCACATATTCCAACAAAATCCAGTCTGATGCAGCCTGATTTCTGTCCTACCCAAGAGCCAAAGTTCTCTGGCTGTTTGCAACAACTAAAAACTTAAAAAAATATGAGACTTTAGACAGAGTTTCCAGAGCAAACCCTCCCTCCTCTTAGGGAAAGATCTATTAGTATTAGTATTAGGGAAAGCTCTCACAACACAACTGTATATATCATAAGCAAGCCTGAAGCCTCAGGAAGGAAAACATTCTCCTGGCATGGAGAATGCCACAGGGTGGGATGGGGAGAGCTTTGGCTATTGGGTGGGATAAAAATGAACATAGAAACAGAGCAAGTCAGAAGGGGTCTCCCAGGCCATCTAGCCTGACCCCTGACTCCAGCTGACTCCGCTCATGCCATGCCTACCATGTGCATGTCAAAATATGGGACTCGATGGCTGTGCGAGCTTCTGGTGGTTTCCCCTCCAGGCACTGCCAGGCCCAGCTCTTCTTAGCTTCAGCAAGGTGACTTCTTCCTATGCTTTCAGACCAGGCTCTGGGACAATTACCTACAGACAAGCAAGCAAATGTGGTGCCAGCCTGGAAGAACAAACTCTCCCTTAGCTCAGTGAGGTTTACTTTGGATCAGCAAGCACAGGATTAGGACTAGGGCACATCCTGCGCACCCCAGCTGCCGGGCTACCTGCGGCATGCCGCAAGTTGCCCCACTTTTCCTGTTTAAACAAGCCCCTTCAGCATCTCGGTGCTCTTTTGTCCATACAAAACTAATTTGCAAGCAAACTACATAATGCCTGTGGAGGGAAGGATGTCCTTCAAGAAAAGCTAAATTCGCAACCTCGGGATTCCTTAAGACCCACGCTCGTGTCGCCTCCGCTGTTGCTCCGTTCCTGCCATACCGTTCCTGCGAAGGGTACAGATTTAGCCCTCTGGAATGCCTGGAAACAGGGTGCTGACACATGGCCCATTCTCCTCTGCACAGGCATCCAGCGGCACACTGTACCACATCCTGAAGGACCTAGCAGCCTGTGAATGCCAAGGCCCAGAGTAAGCGGTTCAAAACCTGCAGCCACTTGGGTGGGTGTGCTGCACTGACAGCAACGCGACAGCTGCCCTCTGGTGTGAATGAATTGCAGGTTCGGTGGACAGAATCGCTTCAGCAGCCCCAGAATGTCTGTTTGCGCGGCCTCCTTTACCTGCGCCGATGCGGGTGTGTGAAGGAAGGCTGCTCCGGGGCCCCATTTGGGCAGAGGGGCGACCCCTCACATGGTGGCTAAACAGGTGACCTGCTCATGGCCAGAAAAAGACAGCTGGATAAAGATGGGTTGGTCTGAAAAAGACTTCTCCAGGAGAGGAAAGCTCCAAAGCTCCAGGGCCGTCCTTGAGCTGTCCTTCCTTGTGCCCCTGGTTTGCTGTGTAGCTGTGAGCATTCGTGTTCCAGGGGAGCCTGCGGCCGGGTAGGGCCATGTGCGTCTTCCTGTGCTCCATGTCTCTCCTCCAGGGCTTTGTTTCAGGGCATTAAGCTGCTGGTGATGTCGCACAACATCCCGACTAGGCTCTTCCCACAGTGGTGTGCGACAAGAGTGGAAGTGCCGGTCACCCTCGAAGATGTGACGCAGACCCAGACAACGGAGGAAGTGATCGCAGAATGTCTCACACTCATCCTCAGACTGGGAGTGTATCTCGCAACACTCAAGGTGAAGAAGTGTTGAGGAGCAGGAGGGCCAGGAACTGTTCTTCCCGTTTCCTCAGAACCTGGGTGCATGAAATGCTTACCTGCAGGCCAGGAAAAGGACCCCCCCCCCCCCGCGCATCCAGCAGGGGAGGTTGTCAAAACACAAAATGGCACAGCTGGTAGTAGACTCCAGCATGGTCATAACGCCCACGTGCAACACCAGTGGGTGCCCCAAGCCTGGGTGGCATCGTCATAACTAAGCTCGGGACCGACGACGAGGCGATGCCCTGCCCGGTGCCCACGTGGTCTGCCTGGCAAAGCGGCTGCCTGCCGCCACTTCGCTCGGGCCCTGATGGTGGCCAGCTGATGCCTCTTGCGGGTCATGTGAATGACTGACTGGTTTGTGAGGCTCACACACTTTTTCTCTTTCCTAAAATAATCAGAGAAAAAGCTTGCTTTGGACACCCTTCGATAGGCTGATCTTGCTTCAAGAAAGAGCCACATAGATCTGTATCCTTGTACCCTTTGCACAACATTTCTTTTTAATTCATGGCTTGGTTTCATTTCTGCATCCAGATAAATGGACTGTGGCATCTCATTTAAGCTAAGCACAAAACACGCAACTGGCCTTGTAAAGGAACTGCAGGGATGGGGACCCAGACTGGCTCAAACCCACCTGGGGCAGTTGGGCGGCAGGAGGGTTTCGACCTTTGGCCCACAGCTGTGGTTTTGGTGCAGCTCAGGGGCTGTGAGCTGCTCATTTACATCTGAGAAGCATTTCCATTCAGCTGGCGGCTTTCTGGGGCAGTCTTGGATGACATGATCCCTGCTTCTGCTTGAAATAACGGATCGAAGTAAGGAGGAGAGTTAATATTTTTGTGGCTTTCTGCTTGGATGGTAAGAATTTACTGCTTTAACACATGTTTATGCTGCAAACATTAGTATATGTGGCTGCATCCATCCAGTAAAAATGCCACACTTGGTGTGCAGAAAAACGAAACGGTGCTGGAGTTCATTCGTGTACCTGAGAGGATGCCTCCTTGACCTTGGTGGGATGTCTTGGCGAGTGGGCAGGCTCAGAATTGTGCTGCAAACGACTCTGAGTGAAGTTGTACCAATTCCAAGGGCAGAGTACGGGGAGAGCTTTCGTGCAGCTTGCAGTTGCAGAGTGAAGGGGCAAGAAAGGAGGCCAGGGACTGGCAGCAAGGACCGGTGCCGGCAGGCGGAGCTGAGGGGGGCGAGGGCCTCTTGCGGCCTCCACAGGGCCGGCCAGAAAGCTGCTGGTTTCCGAGTGCCCGCGAGGGAGCTCCACGGAGGCCCGCTTGCACTTGCCGGTGGCTGAGCAACGTGCTGAAGGTGGCAGCAGTGGGGGGTGGGGGGTGGGAGGTGAGCTGGCATTGAGAAGAATGCAGTTTCTAGCTGTTGGATGCATTGCATTACCCTTCTGCTACGCACACTGAGAAATGCCTGGCATGACAGAAGTGAGTGGGGAGGGGAGGAGCAGGAGGCCCCAGGGGCTGCTTGGGCACTTCGCGGCTCCCCAGGAAGCCCTGCTTGCTCCATCGCACGGCCACCGTGGCCTGACAGACTGGGCGGGGGGCTGGCCCCCAAAGGGCAGTGGAGGAGAACACTGGGGCTGGGTTTTGTCCGCAGTCCTGGTATGCCTGGGGTCAGGTGGCGTGGCACTGGCTGCTGCCCGGCAGCCTTACTGGCCTGCTCGCAGCCAGAGGGTGGGGGCTGGCAGGACCCAAGCCTGGAGCAGGAAGGCTTGCTCCCTTCCTTCCTTCCTTCCTTCCTTCCTTCCTTCCTTCCTTCCTTCCTTCCTTCCTTCCTTCCTTCCTTCTGCAGTGACTGTCCCCCTCTGTGGCATTATTTTCTCCAGGTCTGGGGGCCAGGGCATGAGCAACCATGGCCGGTGCCCCTGCTGGAAATGGTGACTGCCTCCCACAAAAAAGATCAGCTGCTGAAGGATGCAGTCTGGACAGTGTCACATCAGCTTGGACAAAAGCCGTGGCACCGGGATCCTGCTGCCTTGCCTGCTGCCGCGAGAGGACCGCCTGGAGACCGAGGGCAAGCCTTTGTCATGGAGCGTGTGGCCAGCCCCATGTCTCAGCAAATGCAGGAGGTTGTTGGCAAAAGCAGGTCCTCCCCAGGACCCGGTCGGCTGAGTCGCCTTTCCCTGCACAGGCATCACCTGCCACTTTGCACAGGAGAGGTGGAGCGGGGGCTGCGCTTCTGAAAAGTGCCTTTGCAATGCAGCCTCGCCTGCTCTCCAGGGCGCCTGCTTTCCCCGTTCCTGCATTTGCATCCTTGCTCGTGCAGTAAGCAACCAGATCGGCTTCTCCAGGGAGGCGCAGCTAGCAATGGGTCAAGCCTTTTCTGGCCTTAATTGTTGCTGCTGGTATCTTTTTATTTGTTGTTTCCTGTTAGGTCTTTCCTATTTGAAACCACCCTCTCCCCCCTGCAGTGTACTGCTTTTCAGAACACAGTAAAATTAATGGACGGATACATTACAGAATCAGTGCCACAGAACAGAAGCTAATCTCGTATTTCGTTTCCTGTGACCTCAAGGTGAGCAGTAAAGGCCTGAGCGAATGCCTCCACACTGCAGTGCCTGAACTCCTGATCCCAGCAGAAACAATCAGGTGTTTGTGCAAGGCCCAGGAGTGTCTGAGTCCAGGAGAATTTCTGAGGATGTACAACAATCCTTTGCAGCCTAACATGGATTCAGGTATCTTCATCTGCCTGGAAAGGAACCAGACGCAGAGTGTGAGCAAAATGAAAAGCCTCCTTCCCCTTCTGGAACAGGCTCATGGCGATTGGAGTTGAACCATCACACCTGGCTGCTTTTAATCTGTTCGGGCCACAGGTCATTTGCACTCGGGGCGGGAACAGCTCAGTTCAGTATTGGAGCCCGTCAGCATTTGGAAAAGGCTGCATTACAGGTCAATGTGGCCAGTGGTAGAGGGGTACGGCGAGGTTCCCTTCTGCGTAAGTAGGCAGAAAAGGAGCAGGTGCGCTGGCAGGGCCAGCAGGGAGGACGGCCCCCCAGGCAAGGCCTAGCTTTAGCTGCAGGTTTGTTTGAGGGAGAGAGAAGAATAGAGAGGGATGGTTCAGGGTACAAGCTGGTGATGCATCCTTCCAGCTCACACCTGTCTTCTGCCATCAAAGCAACAGGTGGGTTTCCAGTGGCCTTCTGACCAGAACAGAACCTTGCTGCCAGTCACTTTTCATCCTCAGACACGAGCAGAATCCACATCCTGGGGATGGTGCTAAAGAAAATAATTGCATACTTAAAAGAGGATCCTCGGATGGGGAGAGGCACCTGGGCCTGGAAGTCCTGCCAACCCACTATGAGCGAAACATTCCTGTAGGTTCTGGGGATTTCTTGGGAAGAAAGCCGCTCGGAAAATCAGCCGGGGTCCAGACCATGTGCCAGCAAACCACGGCTCACAGCAGTCAGCCAGTAGTGGGCTGTTGTTGTGCAAACCAAACTGACCTCAGTTTCACGCAGAGCCCTTGTGGATGGGGTGGCTGGAAAGACACGTTGTGGCACCCGCAGTAACTGCACAGCAGACGTAGCACTTCACCACTCAGCGTAGAGCACGGGGCAGTGCCCACTGGAAGACCTGGAGGTCTACCACAGAGTGGCCTGGTTGGGCCGTGCAAGGGCGTGCGTGTGTGCGTGCGTGTGGTGGGGGGGGGCGGTTCATTTCTCAGGATCGTGTGGCCAGGGCTTGAGAGGTTTTGTTCTTTTGCTTCCTTGCAGAAACCGTATGGCCCACTCCTGCTCATATGTTTATGTGAAATCGTACAGCATTCCTTCCAAGCGGCCAGCGGTTTTCAGTTAGTGGTTAAAGAGCAGGAAGGAGCTGTGGAGGATGAATGTTCAGGTACGGAATCCGCTTGGAACTGGGTGCCCATTAAACTTCTTCCGGCCACACGAAGGCAAGACTAAAGCAGCCAGCAAGATCTGAGTGCATGTGGGTGTTGCCTGTGGCTGAGTGTTCGTGTAAATAAACGGAGTTTCAGAAGATGGTGGTCGCATTGCTTAACACCAAATGCATCGACACAGAGAGCGACTCGCTGCACCTTGTCCTGCTGTGATGGGATGTGCAGTGAAGTTCACACTACGGAGCAGAGCGCCAGCCAGGCACAGAACTGGGGGTGCCCCTCGTGATAACATAGAAATGCACTGGCACTTCATTTAACACAAAGCAGGGCCCCGCCCGAATCAAAAAAGCACTGTGTAAGAGTCATGCTTCTATTCCCTCAGGAACTTTGGGAGCGGGGAAGGGAGTTCTTTCGCCCAAGTCTATCCAAAGGGATTAGATATGTTTCTGCCCAAGATTCTGGATGTTTGCTATCTGTCCCTGTAACTTTGGGCCAGTGGTCCACAGGGCAGTGGTCCGGCCGAAGATGGAGTAGGGAGAATAAATTTTCCTTACAGCAGCAAAAGTGAGAAGTTTACTCAGCAGATGCATTCAAACAGATGCTCAAAATCACTTTCAAATTTCAACTCATTTATAACAGCTGAAAGCAATACGCATTATCCAAAGTTTCCAGCTCGATATCAGCTGCCTACAGACATTACAGAGACCAAAGCAGGATAGTTAATACAAATAACTATGAAAAACAAGGGCGTAAATAACAATACTTTAAAAAAGAGTAGCACTGAAATGGTTAGAGAGACAGCATGTTTCCTCCTGCAGTAAAACAGTCCATCAAGGCACAAAGCTGCACCCGCCGCTTGGGGAAGGGACCGAAACCAGCAGTCGCCCCCTGCATGTGTGGCATGTTTTTGGTTCATTACTGTAACGAAAAGTCTGCAGCATGTCAGAGATGGAGTTTCTCTGGTAAACCATCTCCTTGGTAAGAGCAAAGAATTAGGAGTAAGAGTTCAAAAAGGCCTTTAAAGGAGGTTATTTCCATTATGCATGCATTGCTTTGGATTCTCTTGGAATTTTTCTGGCGAATGCCATCTTGGTTAACGGCAGCAACTGCGCGCCCAACGCACGCTTCGGCAGCAGCCCGAGCAGCCCAGCCCGTGAAGACCCCGCCGAGGCACAGGTCATGAAGCTTTCCCCAGGGTGGGCCAGGTTCCCCTCGGTGCAGGAGCTTCTCGCTGTGGAGCCTTGCCTGTCTGCTTCACTCTGGGGAGGCCGGGCCGGCGCCGCAGAGTGGCTTCGTCCTTTACAACGCGGTGCTTTCAGAGTCGTGGTTGATGTCCAGCACAAGGTGGTTGTGTGAATTCTGGTTTGGCAAGGTTGCCAACTCCGCTGTAGAAAGCTCTGCAGCTGGGAGGCCTCGCAGTGGCTCTGGAACAGTCGAACTGGAGTCTGTGCAGAAGAGACATCAAAAAGACACACGCAAATGTCAAAAAGGCACTTCTGTGGCGACACGGCAGGGAAGGGAGCAAGCAGGGACTTTGTGGGGCGTATGGCCTGAGCGCTGCACTCGGGAGCATTGCTGCCCTCAGCACCACACCAGGATAATGCTGCCTGATGCCAAGGAAAGCTGCTTTGGGGGCGGGGCGGGGCAGGGAATGTACCCTTTCAGCCGCCGAAGAGGAGGCGCCGGGGTACTGGCCCAGCAGGACCTCTTGCGCTGCGCCTCCCACTTCTGACAAAGGAATGCCACCAAATCTTGCACACACTTTCAAAGGCCTCTCTCTAGTCCTCCCAGATAGTACAAAGTTCTTCATGGAACAATCGAGCAGCTCCTCAGGGAGTGGGAACCGCCCATCTCTGTCCCTGGGCTTACACGAGGGAGCAAAGGCCAGTGGAATACAGCTTCCCAAGGCCTGTCAGAGACACTCAACCGTCACGTGAAGAGAAGGCAAGACACGCCAGCTATGAAGGGACCAGTTTTGCCAAACAGGATGTTCCTCTTAAGGAACGTGTTCCTCTTAAAATATGCTGTTTTAGCACGGGAAACTGAATTGGAAGGAGCTGCCCTGCCTTTAAAAGCGGGGACAGACCTCCTCGTCTGTGCTTGCAGACGGGGAAGCCAGCTGGGAGGTGTGGCCTGCAGAGCTGCAAGGGGGGCACGGGTTCTGCAGGAGACGACCCCGCTGGCACCTGGAAGTGGGCAGAGCGGGACCCGAACACGACAGCCCTCCCCGCCCCTCCAGGAACGAAGGCGCAGGGGCAGCCCCAGTGCCGAGTGGCACAGACAGACCGCGTGGCCCTGGCAGTGCCCGTTTTGTCCACAGTGCCAAGTGGCAGCACATCAGGCACGTCACGCCACGCCACGCCACGCCAGCAGCACCTTGTTCCACAAAAGCGCCGGCCTGGGCTTACAGAAAGGGTCGCTCCACTTCAAAAGGAATGCCCCCCCCCCCGCCCCCCGGATGGCTGGCCCAGGCCCAGGCCCAGGCCCTTGCGCACACGTGAGGCAGCGCGGGAGGGGCGAGGCTGTCCCTGCCCCTCGCTTCACAAATCCCGCCTCCTGCTGGGCGAACGCGACGGGGGGCCGGCCGGGTGGTCTCGCCTCTGTGACGAGGGCTGGGTGGGAGACCGAGCGTTCTCGGTCACACCGGCTGGGAAGCGCCCGTCTGTTCCAAGGGGAGGGCCTTGCACGGACCCCATGCTCAGGCACTCAGGTGTGTGGGAGTGGCCACCGAGAGGGGGCCGTGCACAGTGGGCAGGCTGGCGTTGGCTTCACGGGGATGTGAAGCCACGCAAGTGGCAAGTGTAACCCAGACCCTGTAAGCTGCCCAGACAGCACAGAACATAAAGAACGGGCGCCGGGCCTGCGGTTGCCAACACCTCAGGAATGCTTTGCATGTGCAAGGAAGAAAATTAGCCTGGTAAAGCGGCAGGTGGTGGCTGGCTGCCTCGTCCTCTCTATTCCACCAGAAAGGTCCCAAGGCCCGTGCCAAGCTCCTTTCGGTGTGTCTGGGCAACTGGAAGCTACACGGAACCACCCATGGCAGCTGCACCGAGGGCTCTTCTCCTTCAGGGCTCCAATGCCAGGGCCCAGCACAGGGCCCTGCACTGCCCCACCCAGCAGGGCTGCCGCAGCAGAAGCGACGGCTCCACCGGCCCTCCTGCTTGCCTTCCTTCAGCTGCTCCACAGCAGTCACTGGCTGCACACGGGCTCTTCCCGCTGCCCGCCCCCCCCCCGGTCTTCCGCGAGGGAAGAGGTACAAAGTTGAGTCCAGACTATGATGGAGTGACAAGTACCTTCAGTGCTCTCCCCTTCCAGGGGTCACCACAGATACAGGCGGCCCCCAGGTTATGAACCTCTGGGTTACGAACAACCGGGGCTTACAAACTGCCCTGAAGCCTCTACTACAGGCAAAGCTCCCGTTACCGCGGTTTCACTTAACCACCCACATTCATAGGGGTTGGGGGTGCAGGACTCCCACGAACGTGGAAAAACCAGAAATATCTCCAGCCTGGACTGGGCCACCTTCCTCTGCCGCCCGCAGATGCCGAGGCCTGGGGGACGCTGGTGCGGGCCTGAGGGCCCTCCACTGGCGCTGGCGGGTTTCTCCGCAGCCGCCCCCGCCACCCTCCCCCACCGGCGTGGGTGGCAGCTGCGCCGGATTGGGGGTGGGGGGGGGCACTGGCTTAACTCGCCGGCCGTGGCTGGAGGCCTCGGGCCAGCGGCCAAAGGGCGACGGCCTAAGGGCGTTGACGCCATTTGGGGCCATGCGGGGGCTGGGCTGGCCATAGACTCTCTGCGGGTGGGCTTCTGTGTTGGGTGGCTGGAGTTTTATTGTTTTTATTGTATTTTAATTTGATTGTTTTAATGGATTCACGCCTGGCTGCTACTGTGGGGTTGCCTGGGGAGCACGTGGGCGCCGCCACTCGGGTGGTTTTGGGCAACGGTCGTTATGGCGTTGGGGGTTTAACGTGTAGACATAGGAGGAGAAGGGACAGGTGGCTGACACCTGTCCCCCCTTCTGGTTATTCCCCCAGCCGGAAGGTTCCGGGTATGCTTACCAACCGCTCCTCGGGCCTGACGGTGCTGCTGCTTAATGCCAGGTCCGTCCACAACAAAACATCCCTCATCCACGATCTGATTGTGGATGAGGGGGCCGACCTGGCTTGCATCGCAGAGACCTGGGCGGGGATGTGTCCCTCTCCCAACTGTGCCCGCCTGGGTACCTGGTCCAGCACTGGCCACGCCCAGAGGGGAGGGGAGGGGGGTCACTTCAATCTATTGAGCTTCCATCTCCCTTGCGGGGCTTCCTGTTCTCTCGAGACCGGGTCTAGAGTGCCTCTATCTGGCGTTGGGCGACCGAGACAGATTGGGGATTCTGCTGGTGTACCGTGCACCCTTCTGCCCAACAGTCTCCCTGCCTGAGCTGACGGAGATTGTCTCGGACCTGGTGTTGAGGACCCCCAGGATGCTGGTCCTGGGGGACTTCAATCTCCATCCCGAGACTGTTCTGTCCGGGGCGGCTCAGGACTTCATGGCCTCCATGATGGCCACGGGGCTGTCTCAACATGTCACTGGCCAGACCCATGAACGTGGACACACGCTGGACCTGGTTTTCTCGACGGGGCAGGAAGAGGGTGGTCTGAGGGTGAGGAACCTGTGTCTGACACCCTTGTCATGGTCAGATCACTTCCTCGTGAGGTTTGAACTCGAGAGCGACCTTTCCCTCTGTAAGGGTGCAGACCCGATTGTGTTGGTCCGCCCCCGGAGCAGGATGGATCCGAATGGATTCCTGAAGGCAATGGAGGAGTCTCCAGTTGATAAAGCTGGCGCTCCTGTTGATGCTCTGCTTGAACTATGGAATGGGGAAATGGCCAGAGCTATTGACACGATCGCTGCTAAGCATCCTCTCCTGTCCGGCAGAGCCCATTCATCCCCTTGGTACACACCTGAATTACGGGCGATGAAGTGGGTTGGGAGATGTCAAGAGCGTAGGTGGAGGAAATCACGGGATGAATCTGACCGAATACACTTACGAGCTCATTATCGAGCCTATGCTGTGGAGGTGAAGGCGGTGAAGAAGAAATTCTTCTCCACTTCCATTGCCTCCTCACAGTGCCATCCAGCGGAGCTCTTTCGGGTGGTACAGGGGCTGGTACATCCAGGCCATAAGAAAGATCTCATACCTCCCTCGATGGCCCACTGTGATGACTTCGCCTGGCACTTTAAGGAGAAAATCGCTCATATTCGTCACGAGCTGAACTCCACTAGTGATTCAGATCCTCTAGGGGAGGTGTCAATGTCTCCATCTGGTCAGATATTATTGGATGAGTTTCAGTTATTGCGCCCTGATGATGTGGACAAGGTGCTTGGACAAGTACATCCCACCACCTGTTTACTTGTCCCTTGCCTGTCGTGGCTACTGACCAAAGCCAAACACGGGATTGGTGCCTGGATCCTGGAGGTCATCAATGCCTCTCTGAGGGACGGCCGGGTGACTGCCCCTCTAAAGGAGGCAGTAGTCAGGCCGGTCCTAAAGAAGGCGTCCCTAGATCCAGAGATGGCCGCCAATTATAGACTGGTGGTCAACATCCTGTTTCTGGGCAAGGTGTTGGAACGGGTGGTGGCGGGACAACTCCAGCACTCTTGGATGAGACTGATTATCTGGACCCATTCCAGTCCGGCTTCAGACACGGGTACGGTATTGAATCTGCCTTGGTCGCCCTGTACAATGACCTCTGCAGGGAGAGAGACAGGGGGAGTGCGTCCCTGTTGGTTCTCCTGGACCTCTCAGCGGCTTTCGATACCATCGACCATGGTATCCTTCTGGATAGGCTAGCGGGACTGGGAGTCGGAGGCACTGCTTTGCAGTGGCTCCACTCCTACCTCGATGGCCAATTCCAGAAGGTGGTGCTGGGGGACTTTGGCTCTGTGCCATGGCAGCTATGCCACGGAGTACCGCAGGGGTCCATTTTGTCCCCCTTGCTATTTAACATCTACATGAAACCGCTGGGAGAGGTCATCAGGAGGTGTGGGCTGCGGAATCATCAGTACGCTGATGATACCCAGCTCTACCTCTCTTTTTCAACCAATCCAGGTGAGGCAGTGGCTGTACTGAACCGGTGCCTGGCCGAGGTAATGGGCTGGATGAGGGCCAATAAACTGAAGCTCAATCCAAACAAGACGGAGGTCCTGTTGGTGGTTCGGGCTCCTGGGTAGGTGACTTGGACCTTGTTCTGAATGGGGTTGCACTCCCTCTAAAGGACAGGGTCCGCAGCTTGGGACTGCTCCTTGACCCGGAGCTCTCCCTGGAAGCTCAGGTGACTGCGGTGGTGAGGAGCGCTTTCCTTCAGCTTCGGTTGATCCATCAGCTGCGTCCCTACCTGGAGGACGACTGCCTAGCAACAGTGACGCACACACTGGTTACTTCCCAATTGGACTTCTGTAACGCTCTCTACGTGGGGCTGCCCTTGAAGACAGTCCGGATACTTCAGGTGATGCAAAATAGAGCAGCCAGGTTGCTGACGGGTCCAGTCCTCTACCAGTTTCACTGGCTTCCCATCGAAGTGTGGGCTCAATTTAAGGTGCTAGTTATTACTTATAAAGCCCTTAACAGCTTGGGACCTGGATACCTAAAGGAACGCCTGAGATTGGCGGCAGAGGCCCTCCTCCAGGAACCCTCTGTGAAAGACATTAGGAGGCTAAGTACCACCTATGGAATGCGCTCCCCAGAGAGGTCTGCCTGGCACCGTCATTATTTGTTTTTTGGCACCAGGCTAAGACCTTTTTATTTAAACAATATTTTAACAATTTTTAATATCACCTATAGGTTTTTAATTTACAGCCAGGGTGAATCTGGATTTTAATTTGCACTATTTGCATTTATTATTTATTGTATGTAAGCCATCCTGAGGCTCTTGTGATGGGGCGGGATACAAAAATTTTAAATAAATAATAAATAGCCTCTGTCCCCCAGCTCACGAGTGCTGCCTCTTTGCACCAAGGAAATGCCTGAGAGATTTCCCTTTCTGGATAACGGAGCAAGAAGACAAGCTTTGGTGGCCTCCCTCTCTCTCTACAGTGATTATGATTAACCGCACTAGGTTACAAAACAAACAAAAAACCCCATTTTATTATGGATGGTGAACTCGCAAATAATAACATTCTTGAAAATGAAACCCACGGAAGTCAGTATCTGTGGGTTTTCCACTTTTGGGTGGCCCTGCACCCCTAATCCCTGGGAATGTGGAGCACAGACGCTATACTGTTCACTACTATCTACTGTTCGAGACACCCAATAGGGGGCTTGGACCCCATCCCCTGCAGACATGCAGGTCCTCCCATGCGGTATTGTGTTGCAGGTATTGTAGTGTATACGGAAGCGTTTAAGTGATGTATATGAGTATAAAGGTAAAATACATACATATACCAAGACACACATTTGGCTTACACATGCCAAATATGGCCCATGTGTACATGGTATGACTTAGATAGATAATCGACTTAAAGGTGTTCTCAGGAATGGAATTTGCTCGTAACCTGGGGACTGCCCGTGTTCAACTTCAGTCAAGGAAGGACGGTGTGTGCACGGGTGCTGCAGCTGGTGATGCTTCAGAGTTTTTGAAAAATCCCCACACCACCAACAGGCTGAGCATGTGACAGGGCACGATGCTGGAGCATATCCGGGGGATGCGTTAAGATGAAGGACAGAAATAGCCACAAACGCAGCATCACTCCTTTCACATGCAGGATTAGTCCAGGTGCAAGCAAGCCGTGTTATGGTGACCAGTTAGTAAGGGGCAAAGCTGCACTATTGATTATGCATCTGCAACATTTCTGGCCAATCGGAAGGCCCAATTTCTTCTTACCATTTCCAATCTGTTCCTACTGAATAATGCTGGTCAAACATCTAGATCATTTAATAAAAGTCTCAATTAGCGTGTTATGTTCCAGTTGTGTTACAACCTAGAGGGGATTTAAAGGGTTATTTGTGCAACTATCTCAGCCAGCAGCCCGTTAAGGTTTGGCAATGAGGGAGGGATCCGGTCAAATTAAGAGAGGGGCATGCGCTGCTCCACCTTGCAACAAGTCTGGGTCTCCTCAGAACAATGTTATTTACGATTAAGCATCCTGAAAAAGCGCCCAGACCATATTGTGAATTAGCACGGAAGTCAGCGTGTGGCCAGGGATGCGTGCGCCTTCCCAAATACCGGGTGCCTGATTGCATCAATATGGTAACACTGTATTAGCTAGCAAGGGTGGGGTTTCCTTCCAAGACCAAGCTGGCATCCTACTGTGTAGGAGATGTGTGATGAAGGAGAACGCTGATATCAGGGCAGCTCTTGCGGTTTCCTTAACATTTACAGACACGCATCACATCTTTAGGGGTTTGTGAAATGGTTCCCGGCTCGTGCCGCCAGAAGCATGACACGCTAGAACAAGCAAGCCATGCGATATGGCAAAAACCTCCCCTGCCTCTCTGTGGGCTGCGACACTGGATAAGTTGCTCTCATGTCACAGAATGCTGCAACATTTTGAAGACTGGGAGGAAAGTGTCAAGTCATGGAATGCTGCTCATCAAGGAAAATTGTGATGGAAAACTGCTTCCACCAAAATTGGAGCAATGCAGAGCCCACCTGGACAAGAGCGCCGTGTCACATGGTCTGCCGCCTCTGTGCTCCTGCGCCCGCCAGCCCTGGCTTCTCCCACGGGCGATGCCCGTCCTGCCTTAGGCAGGATCCACCTCGGGCCCCAAGCGTGGGCTGCTCCAGCCCCGTGCAAACCAAGAAGCCCCTCCCACCGCCAAGAGGGCTTGGCACCCACCCTTACCAGTCACCAAGCGGGATGCGGTCGAAGGCTGTCCTCCCGGAAGGGCGCCATCTCCGGCTGGGTGAACAGCAGGCGGGTGAGGCGGAGGCGGGATGGTGGGGCGGTTCCGCGGCTTGGGGACCGGCCTCGGCCTTGGCAGCGTGCCCGTCTGAGCAGGGGACTGAGCTGGTGGCGCATCCTGGGAGGCCGGCGGGACCGCGGGGGCGCTGGTGCTGTGCTTCTCGAGGGGTGGGGTGTCCGGGGGGGAGGGAGTGTGTGGCGGAGTGGGCGAGGGCCGCTCCAGCTCGGTGCTGGGGGCTGCGGGGGGGGAGGGGCCGGGGCTGCTCGCCTTCCCCTGCGGAGTGGGGGCAGCCGCCGCCTGTGTGGGGGGCTGTGGGGGTGGGTGGCTGGGAGCATGTATGGAGGCCAGGCTGCTGGAGTACCGCCGAGGGGCAGAGCCCTGGGACGATGCGGAGGGGAGGCCAGGCCCCCCGGGGCTGGGATGCTGGCTGGGAGGGGAAGGGCTCCGAGCAGGTGGCCTGGGGGACACAGAGGGCGGCAGCGGGGCTGGGGCAGTGCTCTGGCTGGCCGGCTGGCCGGGCGGTGGGTTGGCTGGCTTCGGAGGGGCTGGGGCGGGCTTTTTGACCGCTGCAAAGAAGGCCAGAAAGAGCAGTCATTCCCAGTGCGGCTGTCCCTGGCCTCGAGCACATGCCCCCCTGCCGGCTGCCTTCCCCACCCCCACCCAGGCGCTCGGCTGTGGGCAGCCTCACTGCTGCCCGGGGAGGCCCACCCCCATCTCACTGCCCGGCGGGCCCCTTCAGAGGATGCGCTCAGCCAACAGAAGTGTGACGTGGGAGCGGGTGCTCCCATGGGTGCCCTGCTAGAAAGGGAGACTTACGAGCAGAGAAGGGGGGTGCAATGGGGAGGGTCTCGCTGGCAGCCGCACCCCGCAAGGGCTTGGCTGGGCTGCCCCATCCTTGGAAAAGCCCCCGGCCCTTCTGCCTGCTCAGCAGCTTGCTGCTGTGGCAGGAACGACCCCAGGCCTCTTCCCCCAGTCTCCCCCTGGGCCCCCTTTCCTCGCACAGCAGCCCGGCCAGGCGAGTCCCCCACCCCTCCAGCCCAGCCCGGTCTGGCCTCATCCCGCTGGATGCGCGGAGGCCTCCCTCCCCGGCCCACACGGGCTCCCCAAGCACCAACCTCGCCTGAGGGCGTGCGGGCTGGGCCCCGCGGCACTCTGTGCCTGCCCAGCAGGAAGCTGGACGGAGCCGCCGCTGGCGGGCTGAGGGTGCGCCTGGGCAGTGCTGCCGTGTCCGCTGCTCCTTGTGGGAGGAGGAGTGCTGCTGGGCGGGGAGTCCTTCGTCTTTGGCGCGCTAGAAGGGAGAACGGCCTGGGTCAGAGGCTGCTGCTCAGAGGCCGCCGTGGCTTCCGGAGGGGCGCTGCTCTGTTCCAACTCGGCACGGCTGGCACTCGCCACTGCTCACCAGGGGTGCCGTCCATGCAGGGCCACCTGTCCTGGGTCTGCAGGCCCTGGGGCTGTGCCACAGCCAGCCTCCGCAGGGCCAGGTGGGGAGGCGAGCGGAGTGGCCCCCTCTAGAGAGCTCGCAGAGGCTAAGGCGCCAACCCAGCTGCTGGTGTGCGGACTCCCTCCCTCCTCCCCGAGGTGACCTCTGCGCGCCTCCAGCCCAACATGCCCTGCACTTGCGTGGATGCAGAGGGCTGCGGTTCGTGGGCAAGGGGTGCCCCCTCGCCACGGCACGGCAGGCAGCCGCAAGACATGCAGCCACAGACAGACAAAGCAGCAGCAGTGGGCACAGCCTCCAGCCCGGCCTCGCTTGACCTCCCTGCACTCAGGGAGAGGAGGAGCTGGCATGACACAAGGACGTCAGAGCGCGGACTGGGGATGGCGCACGGCGCACGCAGCACTTCTGCACAAGACCAGGCGCCTGGAAGAGCACACTCCCCCCTGCCCAAGGCCGGGCGGCACGGGGTGGTCATGCTTGGCTGCCGCGGCAACTGTCCGGCCCGCAGGGGCACCACCTGAGCTGGCTCAGGCACTCTCCGCCTGCGGAGGGCTGCTGAGGGAGGGAGTGGCCGGCCGGCCGGCCGCAGGGCAGGGCAGGGCAGGGCTGCGCTGCGCTGCTGACAACGGACCTGCAGAGCAGGCGTGCCAGTTCGCTGGCTTTGACAGGGGTCGGCTGCGGGGCACACTGTGGCCCAGAAGACAGTCCAAGCGGCTTCTCTCCTGCTGCCTCGAAGGACGTGGCACGGCCCTTCTCCGCCCACCGTGCTTGGGGGTGGCAGCAGCGTAGTTCTTCTGTCCGCACGTCGTCCGCTTACCTGCTGTCCTCAGTGCCGTGGCTTTGGGGTTGCTCTGCTGGGCCAGGAGGGGGGCCAGAGGCAGCACCCAAGAGGCCCGGCTCAACCCCAGCGCCCTGCGGAGGCTGTTCTGCCACGGCCTGAGCCAGTGGTCCAGCCTCAGTGGGTGGAAGTGGCGGCTGGAAAGCGGGGGCCGTGGGCTTTCTGTTAACAGTGCCACCTCTCCGGGGGTTCACCTGGAAGTCCATAACCTTGACACCAACGCTACAGGAGAGAGAGAGAGCAAACACACCATGCGGACCGGCTACACGGAAAGGCGACACAGGGCAGCACGAACGCAAGGCGGCAGGAGGGGTGCTCCCTGCCGCCAGGCATGCGAAGCAGCAGCAAGCCAAAGCACTCAGACGCTGCAGGGCCCGGGCAGGCAGCACACCTCGGCTCAGTCCCATGGGCAGGCGGGTGGGTGGATGCGCAACCACCACAGGCTATGCCACAGTGCACAGAGCCATGGCAGAATAACAGGGCGACTGCGTACAGAAGGATGCTTACCGGTGACGGCAGTCCTTCGCGCGGCCACCTGCACGTTCACATAGAGGGGCTCTGCGCCCATGGGGGGCCTGTTGTCGGGAAGATTCTCCCAGCTGAGCTCGTTCCGGCAGGAGCCTCTCCTCCATGTGCCCGTCCGAGTGCTGCCCCCTCCGGGGCGCTCTGCTGTGAAAACGGGCGCACCCCTACGCCACCCGCTGTGCCCTTAACTGGGCTTCCCTCCCTCCGGTGACAGTGGTAAGTGACCGGGCCTACCTCTCTGGGGGCGGGCGTTCTCCACTGGGGAGACGTCCCATTTCCATGTCTCCTCTTTCAGGTTGCAATTCTCCAATGTTCCAACAGCTGGACTGACTGGTTCCCTGCCTGCTCTGGGGCTGATCTCCCCCACTGCTACCCACCGCCGTGTCTCAGGATCCCGAACCAGAGTTGTGGTTCAAAACATTCCCACACTTGAAATCAGAATCTCAACCATCAGTACAACCGTGAGGGGGTCTCCCGTGCACATGGCTGAAGCACTACAGGGCATGCACACACAGGAGTGGTCAGAAAAAAACTGGAAAGTGGCGGAAGCCCCTCCCCACATAGACCGGGGGAGGCAGGGTGGGCTTCCCACCAGAACAAGCTTAGCTAGGACAATCTTCCCGACAAGAGGTCTCATGCAGGCTCAAAGACCACATGTGGGATGCCCCCACAGAGACCACAAAGAAGAACCAGTACAATGCCAGTAGGTACCTGGTTTTGTCTTAGTTTTCACTGTGCACTCTGGAGCGAGGACTGTGCGCCCCACAATCACGTGCTACCGCAGGGTGCAACATGGCGCACGGAGCCTTGCTTCCCGAGTACCAGGAAGACCGGCTTCTAGGCATCAGAGGTCAGCTTCTAAACACATGGACCAAGCGCACAACAAGATCTTGGGACGCCATCGCAGTGACTGAGACGGCTCCCTAACAGCATGGAAGGGAAACCTTTGCTGCCTTCCAGGATTTCTTGCCTCCTGAAAGCAGAAAATGCAGCACAGGCCCAAACAGGCCACCCTGCAAAATCTGCATGATCCAATTGTGTAGAATTCTGAAGTTTGCTTTCCCTTTTATTTTGCATTACATCAGAATATCTTCTGGCATGGCCGGTAATAAACCAAGGCAAAGCAAAAAACACCTTTGTTTTGGAATAGAAGCTCTTCCATCCCTGCTAAAAGGAAGGAAGGCTGGTTCAGCAGGAATAGTGCAAAGAAAATGTAGGAAACTATAATTCAAACCAAGGTAGCAAAATTTTCCCAGAAAGTTCTTCAGAACCACACGGTATGCTTGGAGGCACACATGCCAAGAGGCTGACTGAAGTGGCAGGACAAACTACCGGGGGGTTATCAAGAGAAGTTTAACAGGAGGGCATTCTGGGAGTTTCAGCCCACTGGATGTTGCCCACCAAATCAGAAGCCTTTACAGTGAAGGCCTGAAACTTTCTGAACCGATCAGGCGAAAACACCACTGCCGTGCAATTTCAGGAGAGAAGGCCCAGCAAGCCCCCGCTCTGTGTGAGCATCATGAGAAGGAAATGCCAGCACTGTACCTTTGGACCCTCCTCAGGCTGCAGTGATGAGGAGAAAGCACTGCTAAGGGTTTGCTTGCAACAATGCATACGTGCCCCAAGCTCACCCTCGACGATGGTCCCTGGCCCACGCCAGCATCCTCTTTACACACCTAACAGTGCATGTGCACCCTGGACTGATGGTGGCATTTCAGGAATCTGAGAAGGAAATGCCCAAACTCCTCTGGGGAAGCTGCATTTCTTCCCATATTTAGAAGCTCATTTATTCACGGACATGTTTAAGGGTGAACGGCTTGTTCCTAGAGACCATGAATCCTCGTGTGGTTGCTATGGCTTTAAAGTGGCATTGCATTATATAATTACACAGTGTTATGTCCTGTATTGCTTTAATGGTTGACGTGTGACTCATACTTGGTTTTTATACTTTTAAGCCACTCTGCAAACCATAAACTGATCTATTGTTCCAAAGTATGATCACTGATGGGATTGCAGCTGAAGCTGATCCACTGAGGAATTAGGAGAGAAGCCCAAGATGTGCAGAAGTCCAAAAGGTATTTGGGGGCATACATTTTAAAGGGACTACCCTCCTGCTTAGTCCAAGGACAACAACGCTGGGGGGAACGGAGAAGAAACAAAGTGTTGCGGAAGAGCTTATGGCTGGCTGCCTGCAAAGGAATGCTCCAAGCTCATATTGCATCACAGACCCCGCGGGTAAGCAAGTGCTGCGTGTTCATGTGCAGATGCTGACAGTGTTTCTCTGGGGTGCACCCCAAGTCTGGTCGCCTTTCAGCAGATACTGCATTGCAGGTATGTTCAAAAAAGAGTTAAACAATGGAAGCAAGCGGAAGTCAAGCACGACCATTCGAACCCGGGGGTCTCGGTTGGCTGCCCTTTCCCACAGGAACAGGGCCTGCTGCCCTCCCAAGGGCCTGAAGCAGAGCACGTGCCTCGTCTGGGTTTAAGGCGGTGCTCCTCGGCGAACAGCCCTGAAGCAGCCTCACGGCTGTCTGAAGGGGCTGCGGGGGGGGGGGGGGCAGTACCTTTCCTTCCTCAGGAGCTCTCCATCCATCACGGCCATGCTCACGGGCCTCTTTCGCTCCAGAGTCCCGGAGTCAAAATCACTCCCTGCATGAAGGTGATTTGAACTCACAGCAGGCTGTCCCACAAATGCTCCGGACACATTGAAATCCATCTCTGGAATTGAGAAAGAGGTTTTTCAATCTGCTGCATCCGTACCTTTCATGTGCGATTCAGAGGCACCACACAGAAATCATTTCCTTGCACAGCAGGCAAGGAGCCACTGCTTCACCCTCATAGGACCGGACACACGTTATGAAAACCGAAATATCTTACAGTATCTCACAGCTCAGGCTCATTATGCTGAATTCACTGCTTACAATGCTAACACTTTCAAAGCGTTAATCCAAAATGCATGGCTTCACAGAACACTGCGTGTCACCTGGGAGGGCCCGCAGGAAGAGCTGCCCAAGGGCTTGGCTCCCGAGTTCCGTGACTCCAGGGCCGAGCGAGGGTGGCAAATCGTTTTCTGCACCACACGAGCCACCTGCTCTTTTCAGGCCTCCAAACTATCGGAAGTGACGAACGGCACTCCCAGCAGGAGCCCAGCCAGCCCTCCGCAGCAGTGGACCACCTTGGGAGCTGACCGGCACTCACCTTCAGGGAAGAACCAGGCTGCATGCTGGATGATGGGTTCGACAACAGCCACCACATGCACTGAAGTTGCCGCTGCCATTTCGGCAAGAGAGCTGGGGAGAGAAGGAAACCGGATGGGCGCATTTGGACGACTCTTGGCAAGGAAGAGCCTGCCAGCATTTGCCCCCTCTCTGAAATCTGATTGTATCGCCAGTTTGCAGCTGCAACACGCAGCCCCTGCACAAAATCAACGGAATGGGACAGGAAGACTGGGACGGCTGCTGCCTGCGGCGACTGCTTGGTACTGAAGCCTGTTCTGATTTAGGGACAGCCCTGCCTGCAGAGTACACCAACTCCAGTGGGCCCAGCCAAAAGCAGGCCACGATTTGCTGTCCAGGGAATCTGCAGGAAAAGCAGCCAAGGTGGGAAGAGTGGTTGTGCCCAACCTGCCTGAACGCAAGTGGTCTTAGGGTCTCCTCAGGGCTGGCAATGGGGTTCTGGCACTGGTTCCACTCCGACTTAGCCAGCCAGCTCCAGAAGGTCGTGCCTGGCCCCTTGGATCCTCCAACATGGGCTCCTCAGGGGTCAGCCCTGACATTAACATCTGTGTGAAGCTGCTGAGTGGGGCCATGGAGCGCACTTCCATCAGCAGCTGAAACCGGCGCCCGGACTGGATGAGAGCTAACAACCCAGACAAGACTGAGATGCTGCTAGCGGGTGACTCTTCTGGCCAGATGGTGGGAACGCAACCTGCCCAGGGTGGGGCTGCGTTCCGCTAAAGGAGCAGGTTCACGGCTTGGGAGTGCTCCCTGAGCCATCTTCATCACTTGAGGAGCAGAGGGCCTTCTGCCAGCTATGCCCCGTCCGGACGCGCGTAGCCTGGGCGCAGCTTTCGATGCTCTGGTGGCCACTCACGTATACTGCTGCAATGCACGCTGCACCCTTGACAGCTCAGAAGCTGCAGCTTTGGCAAATGTGGCAGCCAGATTAACAGCAGGAACCAGAGGGTCTAAGCACACAGCACAAATCCTGGCCCACTTGTATCCGCTGCCTATAGGCTTCTGAGCCCAGTTTACGGTGCTGGCTTTAACTTATAAGGCCCTTTATAGCTTGGGACACCTGACGGAGCACCTCCCCCACTTGCACTCTGCCCAGGTGAGCCACCATCTGGGAGCTGCCTCCCACTGCCACCTCCAAGGGGGACTTGGCTGGCGCAAACAACAAGGGGCCTTTTCAGCAATGGCTCCCGATGCACGGAGCAAGCTCCCCACTGAGCACCAACTTGTATACCTTTTCAAGACCCGGTGAAGAGCGTCCTCTGCTGCCAGGCATCTGACAAATAACTTTTATATTGGGGCTTTGTTAGCTGCTTAAACAAGTCTTGCAATTCAAGCTATTGTAGCTTTTAAAGATTTGTTCTAAATTTGTTCTCAAGCTCTATGGTAATCTTTTTATCAAGTTTTTATTGCAGTTGGTGTTTTATGTTGTATTTTATGCACAGCAAATCACCCAGAGAGCTTCAGTGATTGGATGCTATAGAAATACATGTGCACACGAAACAAACACTCAAGCACTCACCCTTCATTCTTGGCCCACAGCAAGTTTGGGCCCAGCACAATGGCGATGTTGCTTGGGGTCATCTTGTTCACGTCGCTGTACTGGGCCAGCTTTGCTAGGAATTTGATCAGGTACCTGCAAGCAGCGGTCCTTGGGTTAGGGGCAAAAGGCTCTTTATGCAGCAAGAGATCCCAGGTCTGAAAGCTCTCAGTTTCTTTCCTGCCCTGCCTATTCCCAGGAAGACAAACAGGGTCCAAATCCCCCTTGAATTCTAAATCTTGCTTGGCAGGAGCATGCAGATGATGACAGATGCCTACACTTCTGGGCAGGGCTAGGAAAGTCCTGGCAATCGCTGTGGACCAAGGAGGGCATCCACGGGAGACTTGGAGGCATTCCTGCCCCGAGGCCCATGCTCCCATGAGCAAGCAAGTGGAAACTCTCTGGTCACAGAAGCATCTTCTCGCACTCTGGGCTGCGTTGGGAGATGTCAGGCCGGTGCAGAGCTGACAGGATGCACTCCGTGTGTGTCCTCCCAGCTGCTGACAGCGACAGTGCTGAGGAGGAGGAGAAGGCACCCATGGCCCGGCTGATGTCGGATGTCTCCTTATGCTTCTATGCCTTGGTGCAACAGAACTGCCAGCCCCCTCTCTGTTGCCTTGCCTGCCTTGTGGCACTACAGCTGGACACAACCCCCCCACCCCCAACAGAGGAATGTCTCCTTGAAAAACAAACTGTTCTCAGTAGCTTATCAATCTTGCATGCAACGCAACGCAACGCAACACAGCACGTGCACAGAGTCCCCCAGGGAACAGTTTGTCATTCACAACCCACAGGGCCCTTCTGGCTTCCATCCCAGAAAGGGCGCTCTTGCAAAAAATGGGAGGTGGGGAAGGGGGACCAGGCTGTGCTCAGGGTGGACACCTTTCACACAGGAGATGCTGCAGCCAGGGGCCGCCTACCTGAAGTTGGCCAGGTGAGGGTTAGGCAACTTCTGACAAATCCTCCACAGGTCCTGAAGTTTCCTGTCCTGGTCCTGAATGCTAGGGAAGAGGCGAGGTGCTCCTGAGCCAGTGCTGTGCAGACACGCAAAGCTGCAGCCCGCCCCAGTTCATTCCCCCACTGGGTCTTTCAGCAGAGCTGGCCAGCATCAAAGCCGCCATGGCCCAAAGGCCACAGGGAGCTGGCTCAGTGCAACCGAACGCAAGCCCCCAAGGGTCTTTGCCAGGCACTGCGCACGCTACTCAACAGAGCTGAAAAGCAGGCACGACCCTGGAATGTGTGATAGTAATTAAGCTCTTAAATGTTAAGCACCGCCTTCAAAGTACTGCCAAGCCAGAGCCTTCTCTGGAGTAGGGGGCGGCATGTAAATGCGAAAATGAACAAAATAAATGCCCCGCTCTCGTATGGAGACCGGCTCTGACTGTCCTGGAACAAACGGGAGCACTGGGCAGCCGCTGGCCAAAGGGGGCCCAAGAATGGAGGAGGGTCCAGGGACAGTTTCTGAAGGAGCGAGGAGAGTGCCGGCCGAGTCTTTGGGGCCAGAGCACGCCTGCCTCACGAGGCTTCTCCAGCTTGCAGTGCCACCCCAGGGGCCCACTCCATCTTCTCCTTACTTTGCCACTTGAGTCCATTCATCATACAGGGTGTAGGTCATCAGTGGCTCCGGCAGCTCCCTCAGGTAGGACTTCAGGGCACCTGAAGCAAGGGCAAGGCAGGTGTGACATAGCACAAGGGTGACTGGCATGCAGTTTCAGGTGGCCCTGACCCCCGTCCTGCCACAGCACCCGCTGCATCCAAGCCCGCCGCAACCGCAGCACATCCTGTGCCCCCGCCAGCCATCTCTCAGCCAAGTGATGCTGAAGAAAATGGCCCCCTCCTCCACTGGGCCCCTCGGCAACCTCTCCGGGGTGCCGTCTACCCATCTCATGGGAGGGAGTGCCTGAGCGTAGCTCCGTGGGACACGAGTCTTGTGCCTCTGCCCCCCATTTCCCACTCTGCTTCACTGGAGGGGCCTGGGCTCTTGGGTCTGGGGGCAGGAGAGTCCCACCCCCTCCACTTTCTTCACACAGTGCACATTTACGCAGCCCCCACTGAGCCTCCTCAGCTCACCCTTTTTCCCAAGGTAAAAAAATCCCCGACGCTGCAGCTCCTCTGTCACTGTGGCAGCCCTCGCCTCCACCTCTGCCAGAGTCTACAACACCCTTTTCGAAGGACAGTGACCGGAAGAGCACCCGGTTTGTGAGTGTGGTGCACAGCATGCGTTTCTTCAAGCCAGAAGAGCGCTTAGTTGTTAAGTTTACTCTTTTTGTTCCTAGTCAGCAAAGAGTTCCACGAGCAAAGAACTCTTTAAAGTAAATACATCTGGAGAATGAGCAATGCCAATCCAGAGACTCCCTTGCATGGAGCGCTGCTCTGCCAGGCCTCCTCCAGAGATCAAGACAAAGGCGGGGCCCAGTGGACACGCGGGGATGAGTGGAACTGGGTCCTGCTGCTACGCCAAGCATTCCTTCGAGGGGAAAACCTGATCATCGCTCGGAATCTAGCAAGCACAGCTGTGACTGCCGGATGATGAATCGCATGCGGTTAACCACACTGGGGGTGCATAATGTGCTCAGGTGCTGAAACAATCACGGTTTCATTTTCACTCACGTACAGACCGGAATTGTTTACGAAAATGCCCTCCTAAAGTGCTACGCACAACACCAAATCATCCAAACCACTTGGCCAAGGGCCAGTGCACCACATCCCCAAATCCTGGTATTTTCCTCCTGTTAATCAGGATCAAGCGTCAGAGGGACTCAAGACATCCATATTCATTTTTGAGAGGGAAAATATTCTGCAGGCAGCAGCTTCATCAAAAAACAAACAAAAAAAAACAAAATAAAAATATACACTGCAAGAGTGGTGGGTTAAAGTGGATTCAGCTGACATTTAAAAATGCACGGCACCCAAAGACTCCTGTGCAGCTGGAATCACAATCTCTCCTCTGAAGATGTTCAAATTTTGTCAGGAAGCTTATGTTCATTTCAAAAAGGAAAATAGTTCATTGCAGCTTCTTTTGAATTTCTCTTCCACGTAGTTCCAAGAAAAACGTAGTGACGGAAAGCAACGGTGCAGCCGTGGATCATGATCAAACCAGCACGGCAAGCGGTTGCACCCCGGAGCGTGTCTGTCTCTCCACAGCCATCTTTATTGCCATGATAAGGCAGCCAACTAAACATGGAATAAAAGCAGGGGTCCCCTTATGGATCGCCAACCAGTTAAAGAACAGAAGACAGAGGGTGGGAATACATGGCAATTTCTGTATTGGGACCGGTGGTTTTCAACCTATTCGTAAATGATCCGAAACTAGGAGTAGGCAGGGAAGTATCCAAGTTTGCTGATGACACCAAACTATTTAGGGTGGTTAAAAGGAAAAGAGATTTTGAAGAGCTCCAAAGGCATCTCTCTGAGCTGGGAGAACGGGCACTAAATGGTAAATGCAGTTCAGTGTAAGCAAGAGTAGAGTAAAACTTGTTTGGGCAACAAATCCCAACTTCAAGTATACGCTGAGGGGATCTGAGCTGAGCAGAAAGGGATCTTGGGGTATTAGTGGACAGCTTGATGAAAATGTTGACAATCCCAACTTCAAGTATACGCTGAGGGGATCTGAGCTGAGCAGAAAGGGATCTTGGGGTATTAGTGGACAGCTTGATGAAAATGTTGACCCAGCGCACAGCTGCAGTTAAAGTGGCAGACTCCATGCTAGGCATCATGATGAACAGAACAGCAAACAGAACTGTCAAAATCGTAATTCCTCATATAAATCCTGTAAGCCGCCCCGAGGCTTCGGCAAGGGGCGGCATAGAAATGTAGTAGTAGTAGTAGTAGTAGTAGTAGTAGTAGTAGTAGTAGTAGTAATAATAATAATAATAATAATAATAATAATAATAATAATAATAATAATAATACTGTGTTCAATTCTGGTTACTTTACCTGAAAATAGACATCGCTGAACTGGAAAAAGTGTGGAGAAGGGACACAAAAACGGATAAGGGGACTGGGGCAGCTCCCCTGTGAAAAGCGGCTGCAACTGGGACAGTTTAGCTTAAAAAAAAGGTGAGGAAGAGGAGATAACTGGAAAGCCCCACTGCGACAGCTTTACTTCAGCCCCTTTATTTGGGTTACAGTTGAGGCCCAGATGAGGGTTAGGGTTAGAGAAACCAACCTTCTCTTGAAGCTGCCTGTGCCTGAAGGTTGTTCAGGAATGGCAGAAAGAATGAGCTGTGCAGGAGAAGCTCCAGGAAGTAGACATTTTGGAAACTCCTATTGTGGCAGGTATATTCAGCCCCCTACTTGGGCTAGGGCTAAGGCCCAGCTTAGGATTAGAAAACCAAGTTTCCCATTGAAGAGTAGATCTGCAAGTTGTTCAGGAGGGGTGGCATAAATGAGCAGTGCTGAAAAATCTCCAGGAAATGGACACTTCGGAAATCCCTATAGTGGCCGGAGTACTACTGCCCATTACTATTGATAGGGCTTAGGAGCAGCTTAGGTTTAAGGCTGAAAAAGCCACTGTTCCCTTGAAGCTCCCAATGCTTGGAAGCTGCTCAGCAAGGGCAAAAAGGACGAGCCAGCTGGATTGTTGCTGTTATGGGCTGCCAAGCTGTCTTTGACCTATGGTGGTCCGATGAGTGAAAGCCCCCCAAAACATCCTGCTCATGACAGCTTGCCAAAGTCAAGGCCATGGCTTCCTTCCCAGAGTTGGCCTTCCATTTTGCCTCCTGCCTTTGAGTTTCCCCAGCGAGACGATCACCTCCAGGAGTCTTGCCTTCTCACGAGGTGCCTGAAGGGTGACGTCCTCAGTCTCGTCATTTCTGCTTGTAGGGAAAGGTCTGGCCTGACTTGATCTAGGGCCCACTTGTTCATCTTTCTGGGTATTGGCAAGGTTATTCTCCAGCACCATGTTTCGAATGGGTCAGTTTTCTTTTGGTCACCTTTATTCACTGTCCAGTTTTCACCTCCATACACTGTGATTGGGAACACCATAGTTTGGATGATCTTGACCTTGGCCTCCAGTAAAATCTCCTGACACTTGGTGATCTTTTCCATTCTTCCAACAGCTGCCCTTCCAAGGCTCAATCCTCCTTGAATTTCCTGGCTGCTGGCTCCTTTCGAATCAATGACTGAGCGAAAGTATGTGAAAACATGACAGAGGTGTTTAAAAGAATGTACAGTGTGGAGAAAGCAAGGAGGGAGAGACTTTCCTTCATCTCCCATAACAGGGGAACCTGGGGTCATCCCATGAAGCTGATTGGTGGGACATTTAGGACAGATAAAAAGGACTTTTTGCACCATGCACAATAACACTATGGCAATCACTGCCACAGGAAGTGGTGATGGCCAACAATTTGCATGGCTTTAAAAGATCCATGGAGAAGGGGGCCACTAGCCTTGTGGGCCGTGTGCCCCCTCCTTCCCCAGAGGGGGGTGGTGTGCCTGCAGGCCGGTTGCTGAGGAGCTTGGACAGGTGGCGTTCCTGCATCCATCCCGCTTGAGGGATCCCGTGGGCAGCTGGTTTGCCGGCATGTGTACGGAGGGCTGGCTGCCCTTGTGTCTGATCCAGCAGGACTTGTTTGGCTTTCTTTCCTCCACCATCACACCTGCTAGGCTGACATGGGAAGGCCCTGGAGGACAAGGCAGGCCCAGCCAACACACCTGCCTCTCCGGGGCCCAGTCAACTTACCCGCCACAGCATGTGGGTCTGAGTAAAACTCATCCAGGTGCGATGAGGAGCAGTCCAGCGCTGCTTTCAGCTTCTTGAGTTTGGAGGCCCCAGCAGCAATGCGGAATAAGCCCTGTGTTGGGACAGGAGCAGCATTCCCTTAACTTTGTGAATCATAATCGTAATCGTATCAGAACCTGATATGCTGGGTGCCACCAAGCAGCTGAGTCTCTAGGTGCCAACCATCAAAAACTCCAACATACAGACTGCCGTTTTGCATTTGTGACGGTTCGTACCACCCCCAATCTGACTCAGACAGGTGGCCTTTCAAGCGCTGGTGACCTTTGCCTGGAGGACACCATGCCACACCCGAGCAGATTAAAGGCTTGGGGAGGGCGGGAATTCCTGCTCTCCTAGAGCAGCAGAGCACAGCAAAGTTCAAAAAAGGTGCATTTCCTGTGCCAAGACACAGTTGCCCGACTCTGCTCCCACTCGAGGAAGCAGAGGTGCTCCATGCGGAAGGGCGTGCACCACTGCAGCACATGCCCAGCTGCAACTGTGACACCTGGGGCCCATCTTGCACCTGGGGCCCATCACAGGGGCTGAAAACAGCACTCAGAGTGAGCCTCTGCTTCCGGGGACAAGCCTTGCTCCTTCCCACATAGCAGGCTGCAGGAGTTTCTGGCAGAGCAAGAGGGGGGGCAGAGCGACTTACATAAGGGACCCCGGCTTCACCCAGCGGCCGAAACCCCTCTTCACAAATGAGGCTATGGCCTCATCAGATTGCCCATCACAAAACTGTCCACCAACCCCTCCCCAGGGAGTTCTTCAGTCGGCCTGACAGAACCGCAGTGCCTCTGGGCCCGGCTTCCAGCTTGAGCAGCTGTGCGTGTCTGATGGGGTGCGTCAAGAACGGGGCGGAGGAGTGTGAGCTCGCTTAGCCCAGTTCTCCCTCTGGACACGACTGAGGTGAGCTGTCCGAGCAGCAGCAACAGGCAAGGGTGGCACAAAAGCCACAGCTGTGCCGCCAACACCCACACCAGACCAGATGCGCCGGCAACCTCCAGCCAAGCTTTCTGGGCTGCAGCCCACAAGGAGGCGGCGCAGCTGCTGTGGCAGGAGGAGCACCTTACCTCTTCCTTCATGCCAGTTTCCAAGAGCATCATGACACACGCCTCAATCGGGAGGGCAATTTCTCGGCCGCTGCGTTTGAGGTGCTCCTCCAGGAGAGTTCCAAAAGCTGGCTTTTCTGTCCATTTGTCTGGTTAGAGAGGTGGCAGAAGCTGTCAGCAACACCACTGGGAAACAGCAATTTGGAAAGTGGCAGGTGGGGTGGGTGGGGGAGATCTTGAGAAGGATCATTAACAATCTGATAGGAAGACCATAATTATTTGATTGGCAAAGACCTTTGCATTTTGCCCAGGGTGAGATTAGAATGCCACACCTGCAGCAGGCCTCTGAAACACAAAGAACATAACGCCTGGGAGCCGATGCACTGACTGCTGCGGACAGGCTGGTGCAGGGCTTGATGCCAAGCTCCAGACCCCCAAGGTCACCTTTGCCAAAGACTTGACTCTTGGCTGCAGTGCACAGGCCAGGCTTCCCGGAGGAGCAAATCCGCCTGGCCACCTGAGTGATCCAGCCGTGAGATGCTGGGGACCCTCTGAAAGGGCCAGCTAGGAGCAGAATCATTTGATTTGCGTGCACTGGTCTACAAATTTGGGGAAATTATTAACCTCCGAGATAAACTATGCTAATTCTTACATATTTTGATTAGATTAATTAGAAAACAGGTGATAAAGGTGCTGGGTGGCTAAAGTTTTCAAGATATTTCACAATAAAGATTTATACACATGCGAGTATATTTGCTTACATGGGAGGGAGGTGTCTGATGTTCAAGATGCCTCGCAACTTCTCGACAAAGTATGGTAGAACAATGGAAATGGTACCACATGGAAGTGTATAAATTTATCTTCACTTTGAGACTAAAGATTATTCCCTAACTGTAATTTATTGTTCTTTTACTGCAAGGTACATTTGTCTTGGTCAGATCTACGCATCATACAGTTACATCTGGAGGCTTGTGAAAGTGTCATTGACAAACATTTCCAAGAAACAGTTGCGTGATATTTTCCCTCAGAAGCCAAGATGCCTGCAAACTGTGTAAACAGTGCAGATAATTTCTGCTGCATTCGTGGCGAGGTGACATTTGCATCTCAAAAATGCAGTATGAGGGCGGTGGTAAAAAAGGCATCCCACCAATATTTTGGATGCAAAATAGCGATCAGGATAAGAGTTGGGCCCCTCGTTGTTGCATTACCTGTGCGACTTATTTGCGTCATTGGCTAAACAAGAAGGAAAAGCCCATGCCTTTCGCAGTCCCAGTGGTGTGGAGGGGACCCACCCATCATTGTAGCGACTGCCATTTTTGCATGGTGCCCCCAGTTGCAAAAGGGATCTCAGGAAAGAAGAAGTGGACCCTGGAATATCCAAACATTCCCTCAGCACTGCGTCCTGTACCCCATGGTGAGGACTGGCCAATTCCAGATCCACCCGAATCCCACTCTCCAGACTCAGATGATGACAAAGATAATGAGTTTGTCAGTTTTTCATGTAAAAAGCATGAAAAAGTTACATGAAAAACCAATAAATGAATTGAAAGTTAAGTTATTGGTATCAATAAAAGATAAATTTATAATGATTAGTGTGGCACCATTCTCATTGCTATATCACATTGCAGAAAAGTTATGGAGCATAATCGCACATCCCCCTCATAATTTTGAATTATTTCAATGCAATTTTGACCTGAAGCTGTATCTTGCAAATGGGAGCCAATTAATACTTGGGACTTAATTTTCCTTTGTTAGTGACCCAGTTCTGGTAAAATTTAGCTACTTTCATTTCCGAGGCTTTCTCCAGTGCCTGGTGGGGGCTTGTAGCTGCCAGTCCCCCTTGCAGCTCCTTGTGAATGAGCCCTTTCTGTATCCCCAAGCACCGGCGGGGAGTCACACTCCTTGGGTCTGCAAGGCAGGCGCAGCAATGGCAGGTTGCAGTGATCCATGGCAGCGTGGGCACGGAGCAGGCCCCCGTGAACCCTGCGGCAAGGGTTGAAAAACACAATTCCCCTTCCATATGAACTGAGCTCCATATTTTGCCAGGTCTTTTTTCATTTGGTGTCCACACCCCACACCTGCCATGGTGAGTGATACCAGAGCAGAGCCGGGCCAGGGCAAAGAGATGGGCTGCTCTGGCACAGAACTGCTTGATCAGCAATTGCTTTAACTCTGAAACTGCCCAAGCTCCACGCAGAGTTGGTTCAATTCCAGCTCTCTGGGGCCGGCCCTTCCTGAGGCACAAGGGATTGGCGTCACTCAACGGGGAAGAAGCGTCAGCTCCAAAAGGAAAGCAAAGTATGGCCCCACCTGGCTTACCTGTGTTAGAATCTGCTCGCAGCCTCTTGCCCTTCTAGGCAAACATGAAACCACAATTTCAGCAAAATTTAGAAAGCTGGCCAATAACTGCTCAAATGTGTTATAGCTGCATGAGGCTTTTGTCCATCTAGTTGCCCCAACTTCCCTTTGTCAACAATACAGTTTGGAGGAAAATTAAAAGGTGGCCCTTGCAAATTATTTTACATGAGCCAACTTGTCTCTCTCTCCAATCTGCCCAATAAATTCAATTTGTCACTTTGTTGTTCTAGTTAAAGAAAGTGAAACATACAAGCATCGGCAGACTGTTAGTTACGCAGGAAGGGCGGAAAATGAGAAGCCTAGAAGCACTCTGAGATATTCAGCGCATCTTTCCACGTTGACTGGGTTTGCATGATACAGCAACCTACTGAGGGAGGCTACCTAGACCAACTTGCCTGGGGTGGCCTGAGCCCGGGCAACAAGCCACCCCAACGATGCATGGCTTGTTCTAGGGGCTTCTGCATCACCCCAAGCTGGGCTACCAGGCCCCATGGCAGAGCAGCAAAATGCGCTTGCCATTCCTGCCAGGGGACTTCCCAGTGAACACTGCTGCCAGCTGCCCCAAGCTGCTCCAGCGGCAACAGAAAGCAGCAGCGACTGGCTGCCCCTCCGCCCGCCACAGTCACGAGCCATGTCAGGCGTGATCTACCATTTTAATTTTGTCCACCCACCCCCATAATTTGGAGGTGAGGAAAGCTGGTTGTCAAGCTGCCTGTGCGCCGGGCTTTCCTGATCCCCACGTTGACAGCTGGGAGCATTCCCATCAAAGCACCTTCTGCTGCCACGAAAAACCAAAGTGGGGAAAATGCATCTGGAGCATCTGCTAAGCAATGCCTAGGGTGGGTGGCTGCCACCCTGAACACTCCCCAGCCAAGGCTTCATGTCCCTGCCGTTGCACAGCCATGGCCAGATGGTTTAAAAAACCAGCATTTTGCATGAGCAATGGTTGCACGATTGCTTAAAGCCCCTTCAGAGTGCCCAGGCCTGCTTGGTGCGGGCAAATCAGGAATCGTAAAGCCGGCTCTCCCAGTCTCTGGAAAAGGGTTCAAAAGGAAAAAAGCCCCCATGGGTGCAAAAGGGCTTGTAAACGGGGAAAGTGGAGGTCAAAGACTCAGCTACTCTCGGGCATCGCCTGGGAAGCCTCACAGGGCGCCTGGCCGTCCACTGGGATTGCCACGGGCGTGTTCCACACAGTCAAGCTGCTGCCCCTCACTGCCAGGGAGGGTTCGCATGGCGTGCAGACGTGCCTGCTCTTCGGCTACAGCACTGTACATGCAGGCAACCAACCTCTTTTCTCAAAGGTCAACAGCTCCAGAAACAAAGCTCAGATCTTCTTTGGCCTTGTTCTTATAGAGCTGCACTGTCTCCATGACCTTCTCAGGAAACTGTCACCATCGGTGCTTCTACAGCTGTCTGGAAGATTACCGTGACTCTGCGGAAGGGAATGCTGATGCCTGCAGGAGCCGGGAGAGCCCACTGAGCCACTGCTCCCTGCTCTCACACCGGTGCTCGGGCCTTCTGGGTCAGGGAGCTGCTGGCGCAGCCTCCCTGGGCTCCAGGCTTCCAGCAGATGGGCAGGGCAGGGCAGGGCAGGTGGCTGCCCTGGGGCTGTCCCCACCTTCCTGCCATGTAGCTCAGCTCTTCTCTTCTCTTCTCTTCTCTTCTCTTCTCTTCTCTTCTCTTCTCTTCTTCTCTGGGCCCATGGAGACCAGCACTTCCAAAAACAGTCCAAGCACCATACTAGTCTCCCAGAACTACCATGTGGAATTAGCTGCCACAAGATGTGGTGGGGGATGCTAAATGGCTGTTGCATTAAAAAAGTGGTGAGACAAGGGTGCAAAAGTCTATTAGGCTATGGGAAATATTCAGTGATTTCAAAGAGCTTATTTTAGTCTGCAGGATTTTCCTTGCAATGATCTTAAGTTTTACGCATCCCTTTGAGTGTTTATAACTCTTACCTGTTTTTAGAAGACTTTGTAATCACTGTCATATTGTTTTTAATAATGATTTTAATGTTAACTGCCTCGGACATAATTTAGGACACATAACTAAATGCAGTAAAACAAAATCGAATGAAGGAATTTAAGAGTGGGATGCTGCATGGAGTGCTGGATCCAGTCCAGGGCCCCCACCGCGCGCCAGCCCCTCCGCTGCGATGCTCCCCCTCTCGGCCTCCAGTCAGCCCCGCTGAGCATGTTCAGTCCCAGCTGCACAGCGTTTCAGGTTTCCCCCACTAGGCTGGGTTCCTGCACTTCTGCAAGCCACAGCAGCAGGGCTCCTTCAGGCCTGCTCACAGGCCCTTAGGCACAGGGGCTGCTGCTCTGGCCACCTGAGGCCATACCTGAGGCAGCCTACCTTTGACTAGCAGGTGCCGGGACCAAGGACAGGGGACCTGTGTGTTAGCTTCAGGCATTGAGGGCTGCCGCTGGAGACCGAAGGCAGGACAAAGTGGGCCTTCCACTCCTTCCAGCAAGGCAATGCCTCTGCTCCTCCTCAGGGGACCTGCGCAGCAAGCCCTCTCCTCCACTTTGCTCTTTGCCACTGGCCCTCGCCATCCTGCTGCCCAAGGCATGTGGCTCCTGAAGGCACCCAGCACACCCAGTCCGCTGCAGAGGGCGAAGACTGGGAGAGCCACTGCCAGTGAGCACAGCAGCGTCAGGCACCCCTACAGGCGGCAGCTGAGAAAGCGACGTGGCGGCAGCTCCCGGCGGCAGGGCAAGGGGCAGAGCCGGCACGCCCGGCCCCTTTCAGGACAGGCGCTGCCCCAGTGCACATCAGAGAAATCCGCAGTGGCTTGTTAGTATATTAATAGAGGCTTGGAAGGATGTCAGAGATGCAGTTGCAGAGGGGCAGGCATAATCTGGAAGGACGTGCTGTTCAGGAAGCTTCCCTGCACTGATTCGAGAAGAGTGGCATGCCAAAGGACAGAGGAGCAGGAGGAAGAGGAGGAGGAGGAGGAGGAGTCGAGCGCAGACCCGGCGCAGACAAAGCATGAGGCAGAGCGCAGGTGTACTTTACCTTGATGGGCCTGGATTTCGGGGAGCACCTTTTCTAAGACTGCTAATGCCTTTCTGTGGTACTCTGCTTGGGCTTCTAATAACTGAGAACAGAACCCACATTTTAAGGCAAGAGTTAGCGCTGGACAAACACCACAACACATGGGCAGAAGGATTAAGCACGTGAAAGGCATGTCTGGAAAAGCAGCGCAGTAAAAGCAGGGAGATACTCACAGCGACAAAGTATCTGGCATAGTCGCCTTCTTTGGAAATGAAGTTGTACATGTCTGCAGCCAGTTGGTCCTTGCAAGTGGAGCGTGTGGGGAGACAAGGGGCAAGTCAGCAATGGCGACACACACAGAAGGCACCAAATACCTGAGCAGGATCCAGTTGCGTGAGGTCTGTGAAAATTCAGCTGATGGTCCCTCCAAAAAGCCCCTTCAGGGGCCACCTGGGCTCCTGAGACAGGGTCAAGCACGTAACCCATCCTGCACAGGGCTGGTCGCACGGCATTTGCATTCCGTGGCCTACGGTCAAGTTCTCTTTTACAAATCCTAAAGTTTCTAACCCAAATGATTATTTGTGATTAAAGGATTAAGGCTAATATGGCTGCAAACAACAAGAGGGAGTCACTGGCAATGCTGGCGAGGAAGACGGGAGGTGTGCAGTGTGGGCCCTCGGCTGCAGAAGGCAGGCATGTCGCTGCGCTTAGTGGAGGACTGCATAAACGGGACAGCTCACGGCTCTTTCCTGCGGCTGCCAGCAATTAAATAAAGGACAGAAAACTAGCAATTCATATAAAGAAGAGGAGACGGTAATAATGATGGCGATGATATGCAGAGTAGGTTAATGCTCAGCGTGGGATTTGGGTTTTCTTAGCAGAGTTTCTGAGTGAGCAAGTATGAACACAAAAATACAGAGATGCCCTGCATGGGGCAGGGAACCTTCTCTGGACGGCTGAATTGGTTCTGCTCAAACACGCTGGAGCTGCATGCCAGGGAGGGCACGACCACAGCCTCTGTCCCCCACTGCCGACACAGAGCCCACCCCCCTTGCCTTGATCCCCCCCCTCTAGTCACACAAGTGTGGGCACTCCCTCCACTCACACCCCCAGACTAGGTGCTGCACGCCAAGCATTCCTCCCTTCGCACATTCAAGGCAGCAAACCATTTCCTTGCAAAAAGCTCTCCATTAAGCAAAGGGCACCCTGTAAACCCACGCGCCCCGGCATGTATCCCCGCGCACGCATGGAGCAGGGTGTTGGACCCGATCTGAACACCTGCCTCTGAAAACCCTCCTTTTGAGTATACCTGGGCCCGATCCCTCCGGAGGGGTCTGACTGGAGGCGAGCACTCCTCTTTTCTATCTGCCCATCTCTCACCGGCTGGCCCTCCTCTCCCGAGGCCATGTCACGGAGGTGAGCGGCATGCCAGGTCCCCCCGACTCCGAGAGCTCTGTGCCAAGCCCCCGGCTGTGCACTTTGGCTCTTCTCGGAGCCTGCCCGCATGCTCGGGGAGCGCGGCCTTGAGGCAGTGGCCTCTGCTTCGTCCGTCTCAAACCCGAGCCCCCTGCTCCCAGGCCCCCTCTGCTTCTGTCCCTTCATTCTCCACCTCAGAGTCCCAACTGGTGTGACCCGGGGGTGCGCGCTGAGAACAGCTGCCACCCTCGTCCCCAGCACAAAGGGAAAGGGCAGCAAACTGCCCATGCGGGGAGAGGCCCCTTTCTTTCTGCGTGGACAGACTGTGAGAGGTACCTCCTTTCCAAACTGTGCGGAGGCTAAAGGAGAAAAGAAACAGAACTGACTGGCGGCTGCCTGACAAATGGCGGTGGAAAAAGGGAGTGGGGTCTGCAGAACGGACAGGCAGAGGGAGACCTTCTAGGCTGTACGCTGAATCTGGCGACAAAGTCCCTTCCTGTAGCTGCTATACAAGTCACAGGAAGAAACAGCCATGCTCGATGCCCTGCTGCAGCACGTGGCCCATAGGATCCATGCTTAAAATTATGGTGGAAATAAATGTCGGGGGGGGGCTCCCCAACAAAACTCACATTTACCATCCCAACTTCCCCCAGCTTTAGCCCTACCTGGCCTTGTAAAAGCGGCATCCAAGCTCACAAGCCACACCCGTGCAGGAACACAAACATTCTTCTGATTATACTTGTTTATATCCTGTCTGTTCCCAGAGATTGGGACTTTAGGCAGTTCACAACATCAACATTCATGCAATTAAACCATTCAAAGGAATACAGAAGTTAAAGATACAATTAAGCAACTACACGTTAAAATTAAATCACTACCTAGCTTAAAAACACGTCAAAAATCTAAATGGTAAAAATTAACCCAGCGCAAACTCACAGGCATTCCCAAATGCCCGCTGGACTAAAAGGGTCACCATCTGCTTACAAAACCTTAACAGGGAATGTGCCATCCCAGCCTTCCTCAGAAGGGAGTTCCAGGGCCACAAAGAAAATCCTTCCCTGTGCTCCCACCACGCATGCCCGTGAGTGCAGTGTAACCAAGAGAAGGGCTCCCCAGAAGAACTTAGAACCTGCATGGGCTTGTGCAGGAGAATAGGTTATTCAGATACTACCCAGGAACTTGGCTGAAGAGGCAAATAGCCACTGGGGAGAACTGCATTTTCCAGGTTTTCTTTGGCATGGAAACCAAAGGTTGGTAATAGAAGAGAACCTAGCAGGAAAGAGTCCAGTTGTTGCCAATTGCAGCACCCCAAAACACCCCAAAAGTAGTTGGCCAGAGGAAGGCCACATAGTAAAAACACTGCAGTTGTACTGTCCCAGGAGAGAGGGCAGATAAGAACAAAATGAACTTTGTGTAACCCACAGCTAACCCGCCAGCCTGACCTCGAATACAGTAATCAAAGGGACAGTGGACACTGGTTCTAGCCGCCATGAAAGTTACAAATGTGCAGGGAGTAGTAACATGGCAAGCTTGTGTGAATTTCGAGCAGATAAGAAATAGACATGGGAAATGTCTGGTCCTTGACAGAAGAAAGGACTCTTTCTCCAGCAGGGGAGGGGTGCATACATTGATGGATCGATGCATTAGATGTGTATTAGGTGACCTAATTGGTTACCTCCAGTATAAAATGCATGTACTAGGGTGCAACTTTCGAGACACTGCTTTGGGCTGAACGTCCCCTTTTGTCTGCCTTTATTCTATGGTGCACTAGAATAAAGCTGGTTTTGGCTCTAAGTCTCGTCTCAGGCTCCCTTTGGCCCAGGGCTGGGGTCCACCCGGGTTTGCCCCAGCTGCTGACTGGCTGCGTCCAGTAACACAGTGAATGCACTTCTGGAAAAGGGGACGGGCGTCCCAGTAAGGAAGCCAGGCCTCCCCTCCCGGATCAGTGACCAGGCTTGGAGGACAGGTACAGTTCTTCTAAAGACATACACCAATTCTCCCCAGGAAACTGGGTGGGCCTAGCGCAGGGGTCGGCAACCCGCGGCTCCGGAGCCGCACGTGGCCCTTGCACCCCTCTGCTGCTGCTCCATCACTCAAAACACGCGCCGGCACAGCTGCCGATCTGCTCCAAGCTCCCCTCAGGAAGGCAGCCCTAGCTGGTTAAGTTGGCTAGCGCTAGCGAGTCAACGGCTTGGGACCTGGTTATCTAAAGGAACGCTTGCGCCCATATATGCCCTCTCGCCCCTTGAGATCGGCAGCAGAGGCCCTTCTCCGGGAACCCTCCGTGAATGATATTAGGAGGGTGAGTACCCAGAGGAGGGCCTTCTCTGCGGTGGTGCCCCACCTATGGAATGCGCTCCCCAGAGAGGTCCGCCTGGCACCGTCGTTATTTGTTTTTCGGCGCCAGGCCAAGACCTTTTTATTTAAATGTTATTTTAATTGTCAACTTATTATTTATTTATAGGATTTTAAATTTTTAAGCCAAAATGTTACCAGACTTTTTAATCTTTATTGTATTAAGTTTATTTATTTATATGTTTTTAATTATGCTGTGAGCCGCCCCGAGGCTTTGTTGCGATGGGGGCAGTATAGAAATGCTTTAAATAAAATAAAATAAATAATAAATAAATAAATCAGCTAGTTAAGTAAATTGCTACATTCCTCTGCTAAACAAGCTTCCTGCAGGCTCTCGGAAATGCGGAAACGCTGCTGAAAAGATTCCCTTTGTTGCAATGTAATCTCCTTCCTCTGAATGATAAAAGCTGCGCTTGGGACCTGTCACAATTCACAGCACTTGACTGTTTATCTGTTAATCAGTCACTGAACACCCCTATATCTGCCCCCTGCGCTGATTTACTGAGCACTGCCCCCCTCGTAGGCCAACCATGGATAAATTGAAGAAAAGTTTCTGAAGAAAACCAAATGTTTAATGATACATGGGTAGACTCATTTGCTTTTACTGCTGACGAACTTATGGGGTTTGCTGTTTAATGCATGCAGCCCTTTAGCACTGACTTTGACTCTTCAGGAAGCGGTTCTCCTATTCAAAATATATGAAAGGAGTCCTACTAGTTCATAATGTAAGATTAAAAATAACCGTTTTTAGTGACTGAACAAGAGCTGCCGCTAAATCATAATGAAGATATACATAGCATTAAGGTAAAAAACGATATATGAAGCGTTATCTTTATTTTAAATGTCAAAAGGATTTTGGGCTCCCGGTGTTTTCTTTCGTGTGGGAAATGGGTCCAAATGGCTCTTGGAGTGCGAAAGGTTGCCAACCCCTGGCCTAGAGTCTCAAGCACAAAACCTACCTTGCATAGCTCAACTTTAGTTCCTGCTTCATCCATCTCCTCCTTAAGTGAGTCTATCTTAGATGGAAGGCCTTGAAAATTGGTAGCCGATGTTTTATGGGCCTGGTTCCATCTGTACAAGAGAACACAAAAGTATCCTTGCTGTACAAAGAAGAGCAGTGGGAGGTAAACCAATACGGATTATTAGCCCTCACAACCAGCCGCTCTTGCCAGAAGGCCTCTGCTCACTCTTTGCAAAAAGCAACTGTAGCCATGAGAAAAGAAAACCAAAATCCATAGCTGGGCAGTATCTTTCTTAGGACACATCAAAATATCACAAACCAGCACACAAGCGTTCGTGCTCACTTGGTAAGGCTTCCAGAACAGTGTCCTAACTAAAGGATGAAACTCCACATGCTTGGCAGGAGGAAAACAAAGAGGCAGTGATCCTCCAAAGAGACCGCAGGCTGGAGATCTCTGATCTGCTGCTCCACAGGGTTCGGGTGTGCCAAGCAGATTAAGTAAGTGTGCAGGTCTTTGGGAGCAACACAGTCCTGCACACTCATCACCTAAGGAACAGGTGAGAGGTCCTGCTCGCTGAAAGGCAGAATGCACCGGCTGCCCAGGCAGCCAGGTCGCTTTGCGGAGCAGAAGAGTCCCAAGCAGGAGCAGCACCAGCTTCTTTCTGCTGCCACTCCTGCGCTCCACCAGGACTGGCAAGCAGGCGGGGAGCAGGCCAAGTTTAGCCTGACGCTGACCCAAGCAGCTAGCTTGGGAGCAGTTCTTGCAACTAGAACAGCTCCGAGTGCAGCTATACAGGGACGCAACTTTGGTCTTTCCTCTACTGCAGCAGAAAAGCATTTCATGGTTACCTGGCTCTTGCGGAATCCCAGTCCAGCACTAGCTTTGCAAGCTGTTTCCTCTGTTTCTGAATGTTTGGGATTTCCATCTGAAAGCAAAGAGGGCAGAAAACTGGTCATTCAGGCAGCGATGTTTATCTGGAACCCTGCAGGCATTAGGCCTAGCACCTGTGCCCCAGAGAGACATGGGACCTGGAAAGGTGTTGCAGAGGCACCCAGAGTGTGGGAGTAGGAGATCGGGGCGAATGGCAGAGGCAGAGGAAAGGAAACCCAGCTGGTGGCCGTTCTTTTGGAGGACAATCCTGCTAGGCCCTTTGAGCCTGTGGGAAAGGATGCTCTTGACGAGGGGTGGGGGACGTGAGAGGCATCAGATGGAAAGGGAGGGGTGACACAGGGAGACAAAGAGGCCACCCTGTGGAAAAACCAACTCAAGAAGGGACTCGCTTGCCATCTCGGCTTGACAAGAGCAAACAACAGCAGATGGCGCCAGTTTCCAAGCAACTCTCCTTCTCGGTGCTAACCCAGGGAACTGGCCGAAGCTCCTGGGACACGGTGCTACTTGCAAAGTGCGCCTGGAATGGTTGCCTCTTCCGTTTGCCAGGAGATACTGCCTGCAGGCCGAAGCAGCACTTGCTTGTTGGCCATGGGCCTACCAAATCTGATTATGACTAGAAATTGACTACACAGTGAGTCGGGGCGGGGTGCATTTCTTTCTTTTGAAGAAATGAGCAACACTATGGGGTGGTTGGCCATGGCTGGTTGAAGCAACCTACCTCTGTCAATTGGTTCAGTGGTTCTAAAATATCCTTTTCAACCTGAACTTCATGGTGCGAGAGCTCCATCGCAAGCTTATTCTCTGCTTCACCACAAGTGTCCAACATTTTCCTTAAAACAACAACATGTATGTATTGTTCTATTTCTTATGTCCAATCATCCAAAAACATTGACTGGGTTCTGACACAGCATGATAACCCACACTCAGTGGGTTTATTTATTTATTTATTAAAACATGTTTATGCCGCCCCATTTACCGAAGCCTCGGGGCGGCTTACAACAATAAGTTAAAAAATAATTATAACATTAAATTAAAAAAATATATATAAACATTAAGTTAAAAGTACAAATACCAATATAAAATAAGCCGCCCTGGCCAGATAAAATCCAATAATATTAACAATTAAAATGCCGCTTAAATAAAAAGGTCTTCGCCTGGCACTGTTCGTGAACTTCAGGTAGTTGAACTGTGGTTACTGGTGTCGTCTGAAATCAGCTGTGCTAACAAGACATAGCATGTTGACCATGAAGAACCCATGCAGATTTACCCATGGTTTGCTGTTGGGCTGTGAACGGTTAGTTGCTCACCATGGTTCGCAATCAACATAATAACTGACAGTTCAACATCCACCCGTGATGCCATGACAATTCATCCCATCCTCAACCCTAGATTGGAGGTTGCATTGCTCTTTGAAACTAGCTCTAGAAGGGAAGAAGAAACAAGCCCCCGAAAGCAAAGCCAGAGCACTGGCCATGCGGGGGCTGCGGCGGGAGGACAAGGGTCAACCCACCTCCCCTCGCCCGTCCAAATCACACCTGCAAATGGAGGCTCCCGCTTGGCGGCCAGGCTGCCCTGCTCTGCCCCTTCCCTTGGCGGCCCGCCCTTGGAGGGCTGATGCCGGGCGCCCCCGCCAGGCCACATCGGCACGCTCACTGACTGTCCCCGCAGCGCTGGGAGCGGTCTGATCCCCAGCGAGCGCCTGGCTGGTCTCCAGCTCCTCTGCCCGGGGCACCTCCCCTGCCGGGTCTAATCCCTCCTCCTGGACGGAGTCAGGATCTGCATCCACAGCCCTGGAAGGCTCTTGGTCGGGGGAGCCTACAGAGAGTGTGTGATTGTAGGATTGTAGGCCCAGACCCTACAGAGAGTGTGTGATTGGCTCAGGATTGCCCAGTGAGTTTCACAAATGAATGGAATTTGAATATTAATTAGTCTCCCTAAACTAAGGTCAATGTACAAAACATACTGGTCCCCTTTTCTCAGTTTACTCCCAGTTTATCTGGAAGCAGAGTAAATAAAGCATTTTGCCCACCAATACTTCCAGATATTGTGTGTGTGTGTGTATTTTCCATACTTCCAATAGCTGAAAGCTCTCTAGGTGGCGAACAGCAGCAATAGCATTTTAGGATTGAAGACACCAAACTCTAAAGCTGAATATCAGTTAAAACATAATCTTTTTACACTAAAAAAAATTAAAACCAAATTTTGAATTAAGATCTGTCCATGCTGCTAGGCCTGCTAAAAAACAAGTGGCAATACTCCCACCCCCATGTGCTTTCAGTGTTTGGAAACGCCTTGGCAAGAGGGTAGTCTTAACCTGGCACCAAAAAGTCGGCACTTGGCCAGCCTCAGTGAGGAGATCATGCCATCAATGGGGAGCGACCACTGAGCAGGCCGTCCTCCTCAGTTGCCCCCAACTGAGCCTCCCTTGGGAGGTGGCATTCGGAAGATGGGCTCATATGCTGAGCATCATGTTGAGCATCCTGCACGTGCAAGAGGAGCTCCATCAGGTACTGTGGTCCCAAGCCATGCCGGGCTTTTTAAGTTACGGCTTGGAAACATTCAGGCAGCCAAGAGAATTGTCTTTTATATGTGAACTGCCTGGTCTCATCGATTAGCCCAGTTGCCGCATTTTGCAAAAGCTGCAGCTTCTGATCTGCCTTCAAGGGCAGCTCCACACAGAGTGAAATGCAGCAATGTAGTTAGAAATTACCAGAATGTAGATTCCTGAAGCCACTCTGTCTGGATGGGGGTGTCGCTGGGCCGCCAGCCAAAGTTGGTAGAAGGCACACCAGTGCCCTGAAGGCCCTGAGCCTCGAGTGGTAAAGATGACTCAATGAGCACTTCCAAGCTACAAACCTGCTCCTTCCAGGGGAGAGCAGCCCCATCTAGAGCAGGATGTGTTCCTTCCCTCTGGTCTGAGGAACAACCCACCAACAGCATCTCAGTCTTGTCTGGACTGAGCTTTAATTTACTGGCCCTCACCCAGTCCACTGCTGCAGCCAGGCACTAGTTTATCACATCCACAGCCTCACCTGCTGAAGGCGAAAGCAGAGACAGTGCTGTGTGTCATCACATCCAGCGGTCTGGATGACCCCACTCAGTGCTCTCATGCAGATGATGAACAGTAGCAGAGACAAAAATGACTCCCAAGGTAACCCATTCTGGAGCATCCATGGGGCTGAGTAAAATTCCCCAGGCACCACCTTCTGCAGCCAGCCCTCCAAGTACAAGCAGGACAGCTGCACTGAAGTATCCACACTCCCAACAGACAGCTGCCCCAGAAGGCTATCATGGCTGATGGCATCAAAGGCTGCTGAGAGATCCGGAGTATCAGCTGCGTCACATTGCTCTCTCCCTGCATATGCCATCATTCAGGGTGACAGAAGCTGTTTCCATACAAAACCATTGCCTGATTCTGACAGAAATGGGTCCAGTTAATTAATATCCAAGAGTCCCTGGAACTGATCCAAGAGCTGGAATCAAACACAGCACCACCAGACTCTTGCTTCTGAAAAGCAAACCTTCCAAACCCTACAGAAATTGCATCTTTTAATCATGAAGTTTAAAAGTAGTTTCTAATGTAACATAGAGATCTACTGAACAAGGACGCAAACAAAGAATTCTACCAGATATGCTAACCTCCTGGGTACACTTAATGATGCTCCTTGGACGCTGGCCTGGTTATGCATACACAACCACAAAACTAGAGCCACCCAATTGTGCATTATTTACTTATTTTCTATACTGCTCAGTAGCTGAAGCTCTTAGCTTACTCTTATCCTATTTCCCGCCCCCATTGCTCAATTGATCTGTCCTAGCAATGAAAAGCTCTCATGTCTGGTCAGCTGCTGACCCGGGAGAGAAAGTTTTCTCTGGCAGAGAAAAGGAAAAAGGGCCAGGAAGGAAAGCAAGGGAGCAAGTCAGCCCTTTTCCAGTGTTCCTTCCTTACTAGTGAGTAGTCATATTGTTCATGGCCACTTTAAGTAGTCACGAGGGGCTGGCATTTGACACACTGTTTAAGAGTGCCTCTGAGTGACTCAGGCCTGTTTTGGACCAGACAAAGGTTCCTCACATGGACAGCAACAGCAGAGAAACAACACACCCCACTAGCATGTGTAAATACTAGATGAGGCCTGCAGGGGTAAACAAATACACCATTTTCAAAATAGTTCAATGCGTCCTCTCTGTACAAACTGCAATCAGCAATATGTGAGCTTCATATTTATATAGGAATTAGTTGAGAAGGATTTTTCTTTAAGGTCCAGGAGATGACAAAGATGCTATAAAGGCAGTGGAGCATGGGTCCCCAGACTACGGCCCAGGGGCTGGACCTGGCCTGCCGTACCCATTTGGACCTGCCACACGCGCGCCCGCGCCCGCGTGCCTGCCGCCTACCTTGCGCCGTGTGCGGGGAGGCAGCGGTTCACTTGCCTGGAGAAAAAGATCTCCAAGCGAGCAAGCCACTGCCTTGTGCGCCCGCCCGCCCCCGCCCGCCTCCCCTTGCCGCGCGCACCCACTCGCGCCTCACCACACGCCCCGCCCCCCACCCCATGCACACCGCCGGCACCCCCTTTCTGGCCCGTGTGCACCGCGGGCACCTATCAACTGGCCCCCTGGTGAAAAAGTTTGAGGAGCAATGCCATCCCTCCAACGGCAAAGCTGCAGGCAGACTGGCGCAGATCACCCAGGGGCTAAACTGGAGCAGTGGCAGCCTGCATTTTGCAGGGCCATCTCCAGACTCCAAATGGCAAATGCCCATGATCAGTTCAGCAAACAACAACAACAACAACTCTTACCCCAGCAACGTTTCGTCACTCAGCTGCAAAGCACCTTCTTGCATATTCTGGGCCAAAGCAGTGAGAGGGAGTTTTTTCTGCAGAGGAAAACAAAGCCAGCTTAGGATGTATAACTTACCCTCACTCCCTACAGTTGGCCATCCTTTACTACTCACCACTGAGTGTTAAGGAAACATGGGTTGGGCATCTCCAGCCCTGTGTACCAGGGAAAGATGTGGAGACAGGCCAAGGGGAAGCAAGGCACACCTGGCAATCAGGCTGAATATACAGGCTGTGAAAATCTCAGGTCTGGACAACCTCACACTCAGCAAATGCATATAGCCAGACACCTAGCAGACAGCATCACATCCCCTTCCTGGTGAAGGACTGGATGCCAACCATTCCAAGGAGGCTGGAGGATGAAATGTGTTCCAGATTATTTGGGTCCGAAGGGTAAGTGACTCTAATATGTGCATAGAGCAGCTCTGGTTTACTTTCAGGGTCTGGTAAACACACTTGCTTCTTAAATGGTTCAAAATGGCATTTCGTCTTTCAGTGGAGGGGTAAGGAGTTGGGGCGAGATCTTATAGTTTGTTTGTTTTATTTATTTAAAGTTTTTATATGCCGTCCCCATTGCTACACAGCCTCGGGATGGCTCACAACACAGCCTCGGGACGGCCTCTTCTATTATGGAAAAGGGCTTGCTGTGGGGACGACACAGCCCAGCAAAAGGTGGGCATCATTCTCCAGGAAAGCACCCCAGGAACCGGCCAGGGATAGCAGAGACACCCTCCACCCATGGGCTGTGGAGGGGCTGAGACCACATCCTGCTCAGTCACGGAGCGCATTTTGATCTTCTTGGAAGGACCATGGAAAGGGAATGGCTCAGCACAGAGCAAGCAAACTCTGCAACCCAAGAGCGATCCACCCTGTGCAGTGCCAGCCTCTCCACTCTTGTCCAGTCGGACTCCAGAGCATGTGCCGAATGTGCAGCACAGGGAAGCGCTGCTAAAAAGCATGGGGAGCAAGGATCTGTGGGAGGGACCCCAAGCCTCCCACGCAGCTTAGGACTGAGATGCTGCCGCATCCAAGCGCAACGGGAGAGCACAGCCGGAAGCCGGGATGGCCCTGGCTGGGGGGGGCGCAGGATGCACGGCCAGCAGTGCAGGGTGGCTTGCCCACAGGACCCAGGCACCCCTCCTCCTTTCACCTGGGCCCTGGCTGCGTGACAGAACCTGTAAAAGAACGTAGCTGTGCGACAGCAGCTCAGCGGCAGAGAAGTATTTTGGGCTGGAAATGACGACCGAGAGGAAGGCAGCTCAAGGGGCAAGGAAAGGTATGGGGAGGGAGCGGCACTCACGTGTCTCTTCTCCGCGTCTGTTCCGTACTGCCCATGCAAACATCCAGTGAGCCGCTTGCAGGAATTATGGCACACAGACCTCACGTTGTCAAGACGTCGCTCAATCTAGACAGAGGACAGAGAGCGAAAGGGAGGCAGGTTAGGCACCGGATGCTGGCCAGCCACCCTTCTCTGCTCCTGCATCCGGCAATGGCTGGCGATGCATCCCTCTGCGCAGCGTGTGCTGAACCAGCCGGGCTCACTCTCCCTCCAGGCAGACCCTGGGGAACAAGGCAATGTCACACCCCCACTTCTGTTTCTTGCTTTCCTGTTCTAAGACACGGTTCACATTAGCTGCGTGGACAGAAAAGGTGGACTAGAAGTGATCTAAGAGCACGTGACTTGCACTTTTTTGATCAGACCACAGTCTGACTGTTGGGGCTATTTGCTGGACTGACATTAGTTTAGACAACAGGTGCTTCTAAATGGAGAGTTATGCACTGAGAGAGAAGGGCAGCACTGCTCTGCCTCTCCTCCCGGAGAGTCTTCTCTGGTTGGGAAAAAGAGGGGAGAAGTGACAAGGCAATACGGGAGGGCGACCGCGGAAGAGGCTGTCATCATCTGGACCCTAAAACTCCATGAATGAGGCAGGGCAGTGGTCAGATGAAATCCTTATCTGGGAGTTCCTAAGTCATGACAGAAGGGTCAGTAGCAGCCTTGTGGGATATATTTGAGAAGCAGCAGCTGCTTCCGAAGAAAAATGTTAGTTTAAGTGCCTAAGAGGGAAAAGAAGCCTCCAAGTTCTGTTTGGGAATCTCCACAGAAAGCAACGAGAGGATGTGCTTTATCTGAGTTCTGATGAATCGTGAAGGTCAAAAGGAGGCCCTCTGGAATAGTTTCTGTTTCAACAAGACTGGCCAAAAATGCACAGCAAGTTCCAACGGTAGGAAAGCACACACACAGGAACCCTTAGGATTTTTTGGAAGGGTGTTTATGCTAAGAAGAAGAATCAAGTCTTACAAGAACACACACAAGCCGGACCGTTCCACCGTCCAACCAGGTTCTGGATAACCCTTTGAGGACTGATATTATTTGCTCTAACAAAACCGAATCTCCTGTAATGCAGCTATCCAAGGCAATTGCCACATTTTTTACATCTGAATTGATGGATTTTGTTCACAAGACAGCAACTCTGTCCTGGTTACTCTCCACCCCACCTGTTTCCAAACCCTGCCCACCCCACAGCTGCTCCAGAGAAGCCCTGGAGACTAAGAGCTAAAGTCATTTTCTTTATTCTGAAGCACCCACAATAAAATGCACCATACATCAGATTATACTTGCTCCCACTATCAAAGAGAATTACACCACCCTGCTACACAAACTAATCTCCCAAAAATGGTAAATGGCATTTCCCTGACTTTTATTTCTTTGGTGAATATATTGCCTGCCTGCCTGCCTGCCTGCCTGCCTGCCTGCCTGCCTGCCTGCCTGCCTGCCTGCCTGCCTGCTTTCTTTCTTTCTTTCTTTCTTTCTTTCTTTCTTTCTTTCTTTCTTTCTTTCTTTCTTTCTTTCTTTCTTAAAACATTTCTATGCCGCCCCTTGCCGAGGCCTTGGGGCGGCTTACAACGTCAAATAAAATACAAAATACATTAAAACAATAACAATTAAAATATATACAGTAAAATAAAATAAGCCACCCTGGCCGAATAAAATTCAATAATATTAACATTTAAAATGCTGCTTAAATAAAAAGGTCTTTTCAAGTGAAGTCTTTAAAGAAGCTTGGCAAATTAAGAAAATAGAAAGTCAGACACTTAAACAAGAACCAGGCCAACCAGTAGCCAGCCCCTCTCCCTAGCACCACTGGCCAAAGTAGCTCTGACCGGCTACCTCTAGCCTGACATACCTCCGGGTAAGCACTGAGCCCTCAATTTGGAGGGGCACTTGAAGCTCCCCTCCCTGGCCAAAAGTTTTCATGCCAAGCTTCCACCCCCATGGGGAATCATTAAAAATGGGTGGAAATGAGGTTCTGTTTTTAAAAGAAAAGATTAACCACCTCACTGCGGAAGCGGAATTTTGGCATGAAAAAGGGAGGAGGCAAGCTTAACCCCCTCCCGAACCACCATGCTCCTGAATGGGGGTGGGTGGGTGAATGCTTACCCATGAGTTACCGATCTCCAGTTTGAGAAGGTGCCGCTGATGAGCACTCTCTGCATCTGATTTAGCAGTCAATTTTGGATCCACCTCATAGGTTTTTCTATTAGCACTTTTTTGCTATTTTTCTTATTAGAGTGTCGTGGGGTACTATGCTGAAACACCCTAAGACCCTTTCTTGCTCAGCCACTGCTCGTAGTTTGGATCCCATCCATGTATACTTGAAGCTGGGATTTTTTGCCCCCACATCTATTACTCTACACTTGCTTATACTGATCTGCATTTGCCCTTTTGATGTCCATTCTCCCAACTCTGCCACAGCACCACTATCCTAGGAAGGCCTTCCAGGCAACTACATCTATGAACGTTAAGCACGATGTCAAAATTTTGGGGGGGCCATTCGGGGGGGCCAGGTTGGCCAGGGGTCTTGCACTTTTGTTGTGTTAGGCCCTCCTGTTGAGCGGCAAATTTTATATGTTTTTATAATTTTAAAGCGTTTTAATCTGTTTTTATGGAGTCGTCCCTGGCCATGTTGCCGCTTGAGTTTCCTGGGGAGCGCACTGGCGCCGCCATTGGTGTGGTGATGGGCAATGGACGTAACAGTGGTGGGAGCTTAACGTGTCCGCATAGAAGGAGGGACAGATGGCTGACACCTGTCCCTACTTCTGGTTTTGCTCCCAGCCAGAAGGTGCCAGGGAGTCTTGTCAGTCGCCCCTCGGGCCTGACGGTGCTGTTGTTTAATGCCAGGTCGGCCAATAACAAATCTGCCCTCATCCATGACTTGATTGTGGATGAGGAGGCCGACCTGGCCTGTATAACGGAGACCTGGGCGGGAGAGGGGGGGG